CTTTCTCAGATTATAACAATGTTTCCATTGTAACATTATTTTGCTTTAGTCACAGTGTATTACCAAATTGTAAAAACAAAGAAAAAGAGTATGAAAAAAATGTGAAAAAAAAGTAATCATTTTTTTTTGTACTGACACCAGTCAGTGTCCCTGATCACTGCCACACCAGTTATATGATGACGCTGTGCTGCACTAGGGACAGTATGTAAAGATTAAAAAAAAAATTGTGCTTTTTTTTTAATTTCTTGATTTTCCAAACAATTATGACAAAAAAATAAAAAATTTTAAAACTCGCCATGCCTGTTACTAAATATCTTGGGACTGTCTAGTTTCCAAAAAGCAGTCATTTGGGAGATATTTGTACTCTCTTGGTGATTTTAGACCTCAAGAAATGAGATAGGCCATGAGTAAATCAGGATTGCGATTGATTTTCAAATATATATCCCATAGTTTGAGGACTCTATAACTTCCCTACAGACTAAATAATATACACTGATTTAAGTTATTTTCACCAAAGAAATGCAGCAGAACAAATTTTGGCCTAAATTTATGAAGAAAAATTATTTATTTGCAAAATTTTATGACAGAAACGAAGAAACAAATTTTCTGTGTTTGTTCATATAATTAGCAAAAAATTAAAAACCCATTGGTGAATAAATATCACCAAAAAATGTCATATGGTTACAGTGTTGCATGACTGCGCAATTGTCATTAAAAGTGCGACATCGCTGAAAGCTGAAAATTGGCCTGGGAAGGAAGGGGGTGAAAGTGCCCAGCATTGAAGTGGTTAAGCTTTGGGAAAAATTCCCTTGCAAAAGGAAACTTCTCTTGAAAAACTTCCCAGTGTATTTGTCTTTAGAAAATCAACCCCACTTTGTAACTCCCCTACACAAACAAGAGATTGGTGAAAGTCTTTTGTGGACTGTTAACAAGAAAATACAAGATTAAATTCTACTCTACTCTACGTGAACGATAGATTCACATCGGCATATTTTTAATAATCTGTGTAGAAAAGTACAAGAATGAACTATTAGACAATCAATAGCCTAAACCACAAGTTCTAGTCTCGACTTGAATTCCAAGTCTAAGAGACTCTTTCTGAAGGTTTTCCAATATTCTGGGTGATCTCTGTAATGAATGCGACAGTTGTTTTTTATTGCTTTTGAAGATTCATAAACACTTAATATAATTTGACTTCCCAATTATATACAGTAGTTACAATGGCTAATCTGTCGCTTTATTTTATGTGCACAGCTTAAAGCAATCCCGTGGTTTGTCCACCTATGAAAGGCTAAGCAACGGGTCTACTTTATTACAGGCACCACCAGCAATACATACTCACCTTTGCTGCCCCATTCAGCCATAGGGAGTGAAAAAAAAAAAATACTAGAAAACACTTCCAGAAATGAGGGGCTTGTTACTCACCCTCTTTCTACCTTATGACAATGCTGGTACTTGGTGATTGGCTACTTAGACACTGTCACATGGGGACGGCCTTGTGTAAGCTCCAAGGTGCAACTTGGAGCTTAGTCAAGGCCTCCTCCATTTGATCCCAGAAGCCAAACGTAGAGATGTTAACCCCTTCCCACTCACTCGGGGTCCCTTTAAAAGGTTCTGAAAGCCTGCCTGGCAGGAAAGATCAGAAATCATGTGATGCAAAGTACATGGGTGTTGAAGCCCACCCTTTAGCCACCACACATATGTGTTACACAGGTGGCAATAGGTTAAAAAGAATCTATTGCTTACCCTGCCTTGGCAAAGTAGATATTTACTTTAAATTCTTGCCCCGTAGCGCTGGAGGACTTGGTTCTAACTAGGCGCTCTATCTCTATGAAGTTTATATATTCATTTTTGTTTCCTTTGACTCCAGTTTTCTCGCACAACCCAGAATATTTTGACATGCCCTAAAGTATGTCTATATATAACTATGGTGGTCATTAGTTTGAATATCCTAACACTAAATAAACAAGTGAAATCAATAGATTATATGTACTTTGATAAATATTCATATCGGGAACTGTAGGCTGCACTGTGCTTTGAACCTAGCATACTGATTGCTGGATGTGGAATTTTCCAAACAGTGATAGAGTAAGCTCAACTTACACACAAGAAAAAAAAAATAAGACATCATGATGACTAGGCTCAGTGTCAGCAAGGAACCCATTTCCAGTAACAGCCATAACCAACATGCTTAAGGAATACAAACTCTATCAATTTAAGCACTCTGATTTATTGATTTCCAGTGACCAGTTCCCTAGAGATATCAAAGACAAAGGATGGACAATGTGGACTAAAAGGGTCAATTCAAGAACAAGATGCTGATTCCTCAATTTCTCCAAAATGCACATTGTACCCTTGCATTATGGATTAAGTATTCTACATGGTGATGTGTGGTGACATGAATAATGATAATATTATTATTGAAGAAAAGTAATACTTCTTATAACCTTACACTTTCTCATTCCTGTACCCACCAGTTAGCTTGCTTGCTTGAATATATTTTTTAAAATATATTCTTCAGATTTTTTTTAACATATAAAAAGTCATTTTAACATATATTTTTACATATATTTGTAAATGCATTCTAAAAATGTAGATTTGTATTTTTAAAGACATACAGTATATTTGAAATATATTTAAAAAAATATTTTTCATATATTTTGTAATAAAAATGCTTTTCAACATGCAGTATATATATATATATATATATATATATATATTTATTGAAATATATTGAATATGGCCAAAATTGTAGCATTTCAAATATATGGCAATATATTTGGGAAGAATATTTTTAAAATATATTTCAAATATATTTTTCTTCCATGTGGGTCATTTCCCTTAGTATGTCTGCACTCTCTGACAGTCCCCTTGTAGCATTACCTATACTGGACAATATGGTTCCCAACTTATCCCCCTACCTCCTATTTCCTCCTGTACTATACTATTCCCCAGGTATTTACAGGAGTAGGCAAGGGTGTGTTTACCACAAGGCAAATGAGGCACTTTCCTAGGGCGGCATTTTTTTGGGGGGGGGGGGGGCAGCACCTCCTCCCAGAAGTAGAGATGGAAGAAGGGACACAGGTGACATGGGACCAGGTGGGATCCGAGAGAGGCTGCAGGTGTATGTAGAGCCTGACTCTCGTTCCCCGGGATGTCCGGAGCTGTGAAGATGAGTGTCTTTCTTTCTTTATATGGGGGGGCAGGGGTGTTGTTGGTCAATGTCAGTCTCTCTCCACGGGAGGGGCGGGGGGGGGGGTTGGTCGGTGTCCGTGGGTACAGACGATGTTTGTGTTGCCTGGGGCAGCACAAAACCTAAATACACCACTGAGAGTAGGGACAGCTATATGGGTAGAGCGTACTGTGATAAGGATTGGCAACTAACGTTTTGCCTTAAATAGCACAAAAACAGCAGAAATGTTTTTTTGTTTATTGGAACAGTACATTCTACAAATGTATGTATGTATCTTAGACTCACATTAGTCTTCACTATTTTAGATGACCATAATTACAACTGCCTAACTGGATCTCATCACTGAACACAAGGGCAGTAAATCCCTATAATATCCTGTTAAATCCAAAACACTTTACTGCCCTAACAAACATAATCACTGAATAAAATCACAACATATTTCTACGATATGAGAAGGGAAGAACCAAAGAGGTGTGGTGAAGTCAGGTGCTTTACACGTGAATTACTGCGTAAATAAAATGGGTAAACAGCAATAAAATGCAATTAAAGTAGGTGTAAACCCAATCAATAAACTCTCGTATAAGCTTTAACATATTATCCAATTTCAAAAATTGTTTTTAGTATTTTAAAAAAAACTGCAGCTTTCAACACAAGCATTTCTGGTGTTTCTGCCATGAAGGAACTTCTCCCAGATATGGTATGAAGATACCCAGTTGTGATCCCACATTGTTACCCTGACACACACACTCCTGGTGGAGACTAAATGGCCATGCCAATTCATGAAAATGTCTGAGGCACTCTTCACAATTCTGTTGTGCCTCAATATTATGAATGTTGTTGCATGTGAGAGATTCATGTACCTGTTGGAAACCGGTACATGAATTTGGGGCAAGCACCCCATGAGATTGGAGTGTTCATATGGTGCAGCTGAGCTCCCTTCTGCGGCTGCAGAAGTCACAAACACAATTCAGCAGACAAGGAGTGTAAAAGTTGGGTGCGAGAAGCCTTATGGGGATTCAGAGACACTAGTAAGCCATCAAGTCTGCTCCTCTTGTTACTGACAGCAGGCAGTGGGTGGAGCCATAGCCAACAGACAACCTGCTATTGGTTATAGAATCTTCCCGCTGCCTGTTGTCAATCACAAGAAGTGTTAAGGGGAAAATAATTTCTCAGTTTCCCCATCAGGCTCTGTTCAGTCTCAGAGCCACTGGTGGCTAGGAGGCTATCAGTTTGAAGTCTACAGTGTCCTTGATAACCTGGGACAGGTGGGGAGGAGAAAGGGTAGCAGCGGAAAATATGCTGCCCTGCTACACAACATACAGAGACAGGCACTCTGCTTAACTTTACGTAGAGAGATAGGCACTCTGCCTAACTTTATGTAGAGAGATAGGCACTCTGCTCATCTCTGTACACCACTTAGAGTTGGGCTTCATTACCTCCAGTTTTGTTATCTATGAACTGTAGGTAATTATTTTTGAATTTGAACAGTAATTTTACTTTTAGAAAGTAGTGCTATTAAGAACTACCTGAATCTGCCACATGTTTTGGTAAAGCTACTGAAACTGGCGGCAGTGCTTTTTGAGTCGAGTGCAGGACCCTTTAAAGGGCTGTATTTTTTTAATTCCACTGGCTGTGTTTAGGATACATAGTTCTTGTTATCCAGTTAGGGTATAAATTTACTTTAAGGTATCGCTAAAAAAAATGCTCATTATATGTCCATATATGTTCATATATATTGCAGGCAATTAGCAATAGGCATGGACTAAAAAGTACACTGATGTTATAAATATAATAGAAATCAACCTACCTGTGCATATTGGCTCTTACATATCACTCCATTCCATCGTGGCACAGTAAGGCACCCTGGATGACGTAGGAGATAATTGTCAGCTCGACCAACAAATGTATCACTATATCCAGTCAGTGAACCATCCAGGTCATGGAAGATTGAGACCTTGTCACCATCATAGTCATTGGATCCGAACCACTGCCCAGAGCGACCAAAAAAGACCTTGAGTTCAACCTAGAGACAAAATGAACAATTATACTATAGTTGAGCATTGCACATCAACATTTCATAGGAATAATAAATAAAAGCCTCCCTAATTCAATGCAGACTCCTTGGGCTTTACTAAGTAATAAACTATTTTCTTGTTATGCTGTGGTTAATACAGGGATTAGAAAAATTATTTATCATCTGAGAAGATCATAGCACCATTTAACGACTCCATCTGTAGCAAATAAATAGGGCACAGCTCAAATTAGCATTCGTTTCACAGATGTGGTAAGATCTCCGCTCTGGAAGCCAGAGCATCGCAAACAAAATATTGGCCCAATAGACACTGTGGTTAATTAAGAAAGTTCTAGATTTGGTGCATCGTCTCCCTGTATCTATATTAGTAAATTTAGTTTGTGTCCTGAGTAATTATAAAAACCGCATAACAGAAGCGTGCATTTATAGTTGTCATCATACACCACATAGACATTTGTAAACAAAGAAGCCGCCAGCAAAATGTCACAAAATGTGATATTAATGTCACTATGTTCTCTGCTGAACTGTCTGGTACATTAAACCAGCTCAGTCCTGTATGTTCAAGACGATTGTGTAAACTTCCCTGGAGCAAATATCATTTTAAACATGTACAAGATCGACCGGGATGATAACAAACTAGTGAGACGCTGCAAGAATTTCAGGATTTCAAAAAAAAAAAACTTCACAACATAACACTTAGAACTTGTGATGTTTACGCATCCTTTGCCTTGAATACATGCATGTAGGATTGCCCAGTCTACGAAGATCCCTGCAATTTATGATTTCATAGATCAGTTTGCAAATATTTCGGTAAGTCCAAAATTCCTAAATTGCTGCTTTTCCCTGTCTGTAACAATAGACCTGCAAGTTATGAGTTCCAGAATGTATTTATACAAAAGCAAACAGTTAATACAGAGGTCCACTGGTGAGTTTCCACTCTATATGGCCTTTAGCCTGGGTCCACATATATGTGGTGCGGGATATCGCATGTGATTCGCACAGGAACCGCACCGCATTCCTGTGCAAATCACATGCGATTTGTGCACAGGAACCGCACCCGCACCAGAAAGGCGCAGGACCCTTTTTTGGGCCCGCACTAGAATCGGATTGCATGGGTATTCACACCTATGTGATTCAATTCTGCACATCGCACCACATTTTGCGAACCGCTTTCGGGTGTTGTTAACTTAACATACACACCTGCAGCGGTTCACATAAACGGGGTGCGATTGTGATGCGATGTGGAATTCTCACAAAAAACGCTGCAAAGTCCGCACTGCATCAGTGTGAACCAGGGCTCAATCAGCTATGACTGCTAATACAGAAGTCCCCTAATGAATTTCTAAAATAGTTCCTGCACTACTTTCCTGCAGTGAAATTGGAGGTACAAATCACACTGATCTGCGGTTTTGAAATCGTGCTACTTCAAGTGAAGTAGCACAATTTCAAAGTCACATTCTGTGTGAACCAGGACTTGGGGGACATTATTTTACAGTTTATGATATTACAACTTAGCTGTCAGATGTGCAGCAATCCGCGCACAGCGATCTTATTACACAATCTCTCCTATGGTACCAAGCTGATATTAAATCATCTTGTTTATTAGATGTCCAAAATGAGAGAAAAGATAGAAACAAAGCTGACCCTCATCTAACTCTATTTCTGGAATTGCACATTCTGTTCAGTCTTGCTGTGTTGCCCAATCATCAAGGCAACCAACGTACTCCCCTTCATTTAGAGAACCGATAGAGCTCATTGCTGCTACTTTTTTTATTGATTCTTCAATACACGTTTTTCAATATTGTACACATAGGCAAGAAAATAATGATACAAAGTACAAGTGTTGAGATCAAGGAACCTTCTCAACCTTCTTGTTCCAGAGAAACCCTTGAAATAATTTTTCGGTTTTGGGGAACACCTCCTGAAACCAGTCCATTGGTGGTCAGGGGGAACAAATACCCCTAACATCAATGGCCAGTGAGAAGAACGCCCCTTTAAAGTGGGATTCAGAATGCCATTCTTAAGGACAGCTAAAAGAATCTTTGGTGTCATGCAGCTGGCTCTGCAAAGTGGCATTGGCACTGGAACCATGCAGGCACCATCAGTTACAGCTCAAGGAACCCCTAGCAACCTCTAGAGGAACCCTGATTGGGGATGGCTTATATAGAGCTTCTATAGAATCAATGGATGAAACCATGCAATGTAGTTGTATACAAATACTGGTAGGTAGGGTGGTGACCATAATATCTGTTGGGTGGGTATTAAAGTGTTACTAAAACCCTGGACCCTGCATTCACTATATCTGTTCTCCCACAGTACACACAACATGGAAATGCAATTATTTTAGTAAATATAAACTGCTAAATGCCTTTTCTCATCAGCAGTTAGAGCAGTCTTGTGACTTCTATCAGTATCCGGCTGAGCACTGGTTAAAGCTTGTACGAGGAGTTTGCATTCTACTCTGACTGTCCTATGAGGCTGCATGACCCTCTGTCTAGACCAGTGGTTCTCAACCTGCGGGTCGCGACCCCTTTGGGGGTCGAACGACCCTTTCACAGGGGTCCTCTAAGACCATCAGAAAACACATATTTCCGATGTGTAAAGAGCAGCTACTATGTAGAAAGCAGCTGCTGTGTTGAAAGCAGCTGTATTGGAGGTAAAACGACACTCATGAATTATAATTACTGGGTAAATAATTTTATGGTTGGGGGTCACCACAACATGAGGAACTGTATTAAAGGGTCATTAGGAAGGTTGAGAACCACTGGTCTAGACAGTGCTGATTTGCCCTGTGCTGATCACATGCACTCTGGCCATACACACTAAACTGAGCATGTGTACAGTGACTCCTAGAGCTCTGTATTATCAGCAGATGGATTTGGCACTGTGGAAGAAGAGGAGGATAAGAGAAGACAGCATCAAACAGCCTTTTTACACAATGCAGAGGATTAACCCCTTAGGTTCCTCAGTGAGTATAACAAGTATGCTTTACTGCATCTACAGACTGATTTTACTGTTAAAACGTTAATGTTTGAAAATTGCCCATCAGGAAATGGGAAAGTTATATTCAACTATTATAGTATCAACATTTCTTATATAACTATCTGGTAACTGCACTTGCAAAGTACACAGTCTATTTGTCTTTAGTAAATTAACTCCTTAACATGGAGTGCTTAAGCTCTTAATGAAGGTGGCCCATGAAATGCGTGTGTGCGCATGCTTGCCCTCAGAATGACGGTTTGTCATGCATTCTAAAAATATGTGGCTGTCATTGAGAATGTAAAGCAGCTCTGTGTATGAGGGCCCCCCAAATTTGAAGTGCCCGGGACCCCCCAGGGTCTAAATCTGGCCCTACAAAAAATGTAACTACCCAAAGACAGGAGGCACATGCCTGGATCACCAGGTGAAAATAAAGGGGGAAAAAAAAACAGAAAAAAGAACACTAATTCAGCCATCACATCTAAGAATTGGTAAGCTGCAATGCATTACATTTTTGTGCTTAGATACACTTTCAATATGTTGGAAATACAAACCATAGACATATTACATTTAAAATGAATTTGGCCCCCTACACTCTGTATTTTGGGGATGTCGAATGGATTCAGTCCATATTTTGGCTGTCTTATCAGACGGCTTAGGGATAGAAAATGTGAGCTTAAAGTGTTACTAAATCCACAACAGTAAAATCAGTCTGTATATGCAGTAAAGCATGCTAGTTATACTCACTGTGGAATCTAACGGGTTAATCCTCCACATTGTGTAAAAAGGCTGTTTGATCCTGTCTTCTTCGATCCTCCCCTTCTTCCACAGTTCCCAATCCATCTGCCATAGAGCAGCCGTGGCAAGCCTGCACATGCTCAGTTTAGTGTGTATTGCTAGAGAGTTTTTTTTGGGGGGGGAGTGCATGTAATCAGCACAGAGCCAATCAACACTGTCCAGACAGAGCGTCAAGGGTTATGCAGCCTCATACAACAGTCAGAGGAGAATGAAAACTCCTCCTACAAGATTAAACAGCATTCTGCTGCACACTGATAGAAGTCAAAAGACTGCTCTAACTGCTGATGAGAAAAGGTATTTAGCAGTTTATAGTTAATAAAATAATTGCATTTCCATGTTCTGTGTACTGTGGGAGACATAGTGAATGCAGGGTTCTTGGAGACCAGATATAGTGAATGCAGAGTCCTGGGAGACCAGATATAGTGAATGCAGGGTCCTGGGAGACCAGATATAGTGAATGCAGGGTCCTGGGAGACCAGATATAGTGAATGCCGGGTCCTGGGAGACCAGATATAGTGAATGCAGGGTCCAGGGAGACCAGATAAAGTGAATGCAGGGTCCTGGGAGATCAGATATAGTGAATGCGGGTCCTGGGAGACCAGATATAGTAAATGCAGGGTCCTGGGAGACCAGATATAGTGAATTCAGGGTCCTGGGAGACCAAATATAGTAAATGCAGGGTCCTGGGAGACCAGATATAGTGAATGCAGGGTCCTGGGAGACCAGATATAGTGAATGCAGGGTTCTGGGAGACCAGATATAGTGAATGCAGGGTCCGGGGAGACCAGACACAGTGAATGCAGGGTCCAGGGAGACCAGACATAGTGAATGCAGGGTCCTGGGAGACCAGATGTATTGAATGCAGGGTCCTGGGTGACCAGATATAGTGAATGCAGGGTCTGGGGAGACCAGATATAGTGAATGCAGTATCCGGGGAGACCAGACCATATATAGTGAATGCAGGGTCCTGGGAGACCAGATATAGTGAATGCAGGGTCCTGGGAGACCAGATATAGTGAATGCAGGGTCCTGGGAGACCAGATATAGTGAATGCAGGGTCCGGGGAGACCAGATATAGTGAATGCAGGGTCCTGGGTTTAGTAACACTTTAACTGCTTGCACTAAGATTGTATATATCTTAGAATTTCATAGTAATGCTGAGATGTACTACTGTCCAGAAAAAAATATTCAGAGAAATCCAAAGATGGAAAGACAAAATACAGAATAAGAGCTTTTACCACATTGTCCTGGCTAAAGATAACACAACAAACCTAGCATCTTCCACAACAGTCTCACTGCCATACACATTATTGATTGACTACCAAGAGGGACTTCATGGATCATTTGATATTTTTCAGACATTGGGGTTGATTTACTAAAGGCAAATTGGCTGCTCACTTTTCAAGTGAATTTTCCCTTAGCTTACTGAATGAAGTGAAGCTCTGCTGGCTTCCATTATCCAATCATGCTCAAGCAAAAACAGGTTTTTTTTCTTGTACGTGATTGGGTATTGTTTGCCAAGTGAATTTTCACCTCATTCAAAACAAACACCTATTTGCCTTTAGTAAATCAACTCCATAATGCTTCAGACTTGCAAAATGTTTTAGATGAAAAAAAATAACCCAATTAGAAAACAAAATTCAAGTCTTAATAACAGTCCAACTTTTATCTCTGGCAGCTGCTGCTTTTTAATCCCCCTCGCTTAATGTTTTCTGTATAGCGGCTAAAATGCATTTGGGAAAAAGAATAACAAAAGCTGGCGTGTTTTGTCCTGAGATTTTGGCACATGGCTGTGGAATAATATGTATCTTCTGATTCATCTTTCCACATTAATTGCCACTCAATCCTTACAGTAAGAGATTTGTGCGCTGTCTAAGTGGGGAATCCATTTCTACGTCAGAGGCTTACAATAGGATTCGGGTCATTTAGTAAAGGTGGGGTAGTGTGGACATAACTCTCTCCCAGCCCAGGCACACATTAACTCTGTTTGAACAATTTTCTCAAGATTTATATTTGCTTGGGGTTAGAAACATTAACCCTCTAAGAACCAAGCCAAAAAAGGTTTGTCAAGGAGCAACATGTGATGGAGGATCCTTAAACTGCATCCCCGGTAGCACCGCTTGGTTAATCATCCCGCCACTTAATGTCTTTCTCCTGCAAGACTCAGCGGGTCTGGCATTTCAGGGTGTAGCCCAGAACTGGTTCAGACAATACCTCTGTTTTATGATGGATAATGAAAAGCATATCAGCTCAGCTGAGTACAAGCTCGGGAGAAAGGTCAGGGCAACCTGCAAGACACACACAGCTACCAAATTCTTTGCTCCGGGACTCAGCGAGGAGCCGACTGCCAACACAAACACACTTTTAGACTCCTCAGCATGTTATATCTCATTGCTTTAAGGCTTGTCCTAGCTTATATAAATCTGGTGTCTCCGCAGTGTACGAAATGTGGGATGTTTAACCCTCTGCTTCCCAAGGAAGTTCCCTAAATGAAAATTTGTTTTATTTTTATGCACCTTGGCTTTGGACCACCGGGGTCAATTCCTGCAAGAGACAAAATTATATGGAGTTGTGTGTGTGTGTGCACCTTGGTATGATGGTAAGATCGGTATATTGAAAGCTCTTTGAAGAGCTGGTACGGATGGGAAAGGCTCCACTTTCTTCTCTACAGCTGAAGTCTACATATGCAAGATGGTCCATCTAGCTTGGACCAATGTAAGTATGTATGTGCCATACCTGAGGGATCCTTGTGGGCGCTGAAAATTACTGTAGTTAGTGCAGCTACTACAGTGATCACCGCTATCCTCCGGGTCCTGTATTGAGGGGCTGCCATACTGAACACACAAGATTGCTTACTCAGCATGGGCACCATTCTCAGAATGCTTTGCACCTTTCTCAATGGATGCCAGGTATCCTTTGATTGGAAGAGGCAGGACATTGAAACTGTTGATTTCCATTAAGTCAAATCAAAGAACGAGCAAAATCCTCTCTTGTAGTAAAAGAGGTATAGACTCCAGAGAGAGATATCATTTCCCCCGGTACAAATCATTAGTAAGACCTCATCTGGAATATGCAGTTCAGTTTTGGGCACCAATTCACAAAAAGAACATTGGGGAACTGGAGAAAGTACAGAGAAGGGCAACCAAACTAATAAGAGGCATGGAGGAGCTCAGCTATGAGGAAAGATTAGAGGAACTGAATTTATTCTCTCTTGAGAAGAGGAGATTAAGGGGGGATATGATCAACATGTATAATACATAAGGGGGATATGATCAACATGTATAATACATCAGTGGTTCATATAGTGAACTCGTGTAGAGTTATTCACCCTGAAGTCATCACAGAGGACAAGGGGGCACTCTTTACGTCTGGAGGAAAAGAAATGTAATTTCCAAACATGGAAAGGTTTCTTCACAGTGAGAGCTGTGAGAATGAACCAACTCCCTCAACTCCCTCAAGAGTTGGTTCTAGCCAGCTCAGTGGATTGCTTTAAAAAGGCTTGGATTGTTTCTTGGATACACAGAATATAACTGGATGCTAACATTTATACGTAAAGTTGATCCAGGGAATATTCGATTGCCTCTCGGGGGATCAGGAAGGATTTTTTTTTTCCCTGCAGGAGCAAATTTGATTGTGCTTTGCTGTTTTTTTTGCCTTCTTCTGGGGTATAGGATCATAACTTTTTTTTTTTATGGTTGAACTGGATGGACTTTTGCCTTTTTCAGGCAGACTAACTATGTAACTATGTAACGTCCTTGAATTCATTGATCAAAATGGAAGGTGCCCTGTGAATGGTGCCCATGCCAAACAAGTGACCCCCTGAATTACTATGCAGGAGGGCAGCCGCTCAGCATAGGACCTGGCATACAGAAGCACTTACTGGAGTAGCAGTGGCTACTACAGTTTCTTCCAACTTCCACAGGGATTCTTCAAGTATGACACATACAAGGTGGACCAATGGTATTCTGCTATAAAATGTAAACCTCAGGTATAAAAGTGTAGATTTTCTATCTAACTAGCATGCCATTAATATATTTCACTTACACTTCTCTCCATCTTGACAAGGGACACGTTGTTTTGAGGGTTGATCTGCCAAGAGTTCTTCAGTGAAAACCCGATTGCACTAGATGGTCTTTCGGCCGTGGGGAGAAATTTCTTAAATGTGCATCTGAGAAGTCTGACCGGCCCATCATATATCTGAAATCCACGAATCGGAAATGTCCTAAAGATTAAAAATGCAGAAACATGTTATTTGACATCAAACAAAATGATACTATGATTTGTGATGTTAGGTTTAGGCACATTATAAAACTACGGATAGATTTTTGTGACTGATTTTATGCTGCAGAGGGCAGGAGATCCCCTATAGTGTGCTGCATACTGGAGATTTATTTTTTTATTATTTATTGATAAATTAGGTGAAATTGCTATTTGGAATAATTATTCAAAATGGTTACTGCCTGCGTTTGGCATAACATCATAACATCATTTAATTAGGACTGCAATACACTTTGTGGTAAGATGATTCTATACTCCTGCATATTTAAAGGGAACCTCTCTACCCACTTTCTCCCATTCCTCTCCTAAGGGCTTTTTTTGGAGTGGAACGAGATGCTTAAAGTGAACCTCTGAAGACAGAAACATGGGAGCTGAATTGTTTTTAAAGGTGCAGCTCATCCTAATCACTGTCTAGTCAATCACTGGAACAAGAGGCTTTAAAGGTCATAAGCTCCAGTCTTGAATACTCATTTCAGGTCAATGAACCACTGGGTAGTAAGGCAGACAGCCCCAGAGCCCATGCCTTTAAACACAATTCAACAGTGACAGCTCCTGTATAGGGGATCACTTTAAAGTAGTTCTAAAGGCAGTTTTTTTTTATCTTAATGCATTCTGTGCATTAGGGTAAAAAACCATTTTTGTGCGCCCCCTTTATACATACCTGAGCCCGATGTCACCGATGTACCAGAGAACAGCATTGCTGCACTGTCTCTCTCTCCTCACTTGCTCAGAGGCAGCAGTGCGAGCGATTGGCTCTTGCTGCTGTCAATCACAGCCAGTGAGGAAGGAGTCGGGTGGTGGGGCCAAGCTGCACTGTGTGTGTCAGTGGACACACAGAGGCGGCACGGGAGCAAGCCTGTATAAGTGCCCCCCATTGCAAGCCTACATTCAGCAGAAGGAGGAGACAGGAGCGCCATTGGGGGGAGATGAGAGAAGAGGAGGATCGGGGCTGCTCTGTGAAATACCACTACATGCAGCAGGCAAGTATAACAAGTTTGTTATTAAAAAAATATATTTTTTCCTTTACAATCACTTCAATGCATGTCTATAGCCAACTTTTTCGTTTTGGATATAGAATATAGAATGGTAAAACCTGTATTGTTTTTGTTTTATAGATCTTTCTTCTTTACATTAGTGTTTCTGATATTTTTTTCCATGGAAACAATTCTTCTATATATTTTTGTGGTCATGAGCCAGTATTTTTAAGTCTATTTTATAAAGTGGATCCATTTTAATACAGACGTCTATAAGTTATATAAACTAAAAGTGTGCTAGTATTATAATTAGCCTCAGAGGAAGTCGGAAGTGACGTGACATCGGACGTAAACCAGAAGTTAAGGAGTGGCCATTTTGGAGAAGGTTTTTCCATGCTGTTTGTGATTGGGATTGAATACATGCTGAGACACACTTTTTATTTGCAAGCACAATTTAACTATTAAAGAGTTATATTCCTGTCATTGCCTACTACACTATTTTGATGTGTTTTGCCATATGTTAAGATGCCATTGGGAATTATTATTATTACTATACAGGATTTATATACCGCCAACAGTTTTCTCTTTATAATATAAAGGGAGACAATACAGCAGCAATACAGTTCAATACAAGAGAGATAGAAGGGCCCTGCTCCTCGGAGCTTACAATCTAAGATTGTATACTTTGTGGAGTGAGAGGAGCCTTTTTCTATCTATGCAAGTGGATTTAAATTGTCTGGTAAGGTGCATGGTGTATAAGGTGGTGGATAGTGTGCTCACTAACACTGAGGATTTATGATGTGAGGGGAGCACGAGAGAGTGTGTATTGTTTAAAGGATATTACACTATATATAATCTCTTTGGAGGTACATTTCTTATGTGAAGATGGACGGACCTGGGAGGTATTATTGAGAAAGGTGGAATTTGTTAAAGTTTTTCAAGTTTTGGAGACGGTAAGAGTAAGGATTACAGATGCTTAGAAGTGGACGCACGGTGGAGTGTATTTTGCACTTATTATCACTATCTTTGTAAGTGCGGTTTTCTTGTGTAAGATATCACGTGTTGTGGATAATGCACTATATGCGATTTAATTATTTTTTGAGGGTATTAAGTAGAAGAAGAGGAATTTATCACTTGTAAAGGAAGAATATTGAATAAGAAGATATCAACACTATTGGGTTTAGGACACTAAGACGCTGATTAACCTCTTGGCGCCTGGCGAACGCAAATGTGCGGCCTCCCGGCGTCTGGGCCTAGATGCCGAGCGGCTGCACATTTGCGTTCTATTAAAAAAACACATATGTGCTGAGAGTGCGCGCCCTGCACGCTCTCAGCACACACGTTCGGTGCTCACGGAAAGGTCCCGATATCCTCTTTCGATCAGGACCTTTCCTGATCATGTGACTGCCGTGACAGCGAATCACGGCGGTCACATGACCCTAAAACCCCACCCCGCCTCCCAGCTTCTGGAACCCTTAAAAGGCTGGGAAACGCCGGCGCCAAGGGGTTAAAAACTGGACTGTGTGTTTTGGACTTTCGGGGGAGAAAGTATATTTTGGCGTCTGGGGTTTATTGTGTTAGCACTAAGTATCACACCGATATATTTATTTATTAGTATTATAATTACACTTAAACATTTGATTTTAGTCATTTTAATTAGACTCTTTGTAACCAGATACAGATTAATAAAAGAATGATAAACTTTGATAAAAGAATCTTACTTGTTCCGTGGCAGGGATCTCTGTTCCCCTGAGCCTCCACGTCCCCAGTAACTGTTCTGCCCACCCTGTGAACCAACATTCTCACTCTCCCCCACAAAGATGGAATCAGAGACCTCCAAGCTGGATCCTTCATCAGTTGGGAATGTTCCATCACTAAAAGAATTACAACAAACCTACCGTGAATGTGTTAGTATATACAGTTTTGTTTACAACAGTATGCTTAAAGGCATGGTTCTCTTTTACCAAAAAACTGCCTCTGCAGATAAGGGGTGTCTGTAGATGAAGACAAACTGTGCAGCTTTCACCAAAGTTGAATAATGTCCTTGTTATAGGTGTAGGTGTAAAAAAGGTTGTGAAATGCTGGCCTATTACCATGTGAAATTGATTTACTTCTCTTTCAATTTTCTAGTAAAAACTTGCTTTTCAAGATTACAGGTCTAAACCCCAATCTCAAGTCAGCCCTTTCTATTAGAAGCAATCTTACTGGCCACTGAGGTGCGCTTATTGGACAGGTGGTCAGTAGGTGGGACGGGTCTAATAAAGTCACTAATTTAAGCGCTTAGTGAAATCAGCTTTTGAGGGGCACACAAAGAAAGGATCTCTGACAAAAAAAGGTAATAGCAGACACCTTGGGGTTGATTTACTAAAGGCAAGTAGGCCGTTCACTTTGCAAGTGAATTTTCCCTTTGCTTAATGAATGAGTTGAAGCTCTGCTGATTGTACAAGCAGAAACGCAGTTTTTTTTTTTTTTTGTTTTTGTTTTTTTAATTTCCCCTTGCACATGATTGAGCATTCATTGCACAGTGAATTTTCACCACATCTGCAAAGCTGATGGCCTTGCAAAGTGAACAGTATATTTGCCTTTAGTAAATCAAACCCATTCCTGTGCCATCTTTTTTTTCTTTAAAGTGGTTGTAAACCTCTGAAATAAAAAATAAACAAAGCATATCCTTCTATAGCATGTGTATTGAAACAAAATGAAGGAGGTCCAGTCAGAAAAATGTTCTTACAGCAGAGGTCCGAATCACATGTTCAATGACTCAGATCATTCACATCACAGGCCCCTCCTCTTATATCTCAATTCCATTCTTACATCAGCGTCCTCCTTCCCCCTTACATATTACAACCCCCCCATTTACATCACAGCACCCCCATTCACATCACAGTTCCCCATTCATAGTTGTGTTCTCAGTCCTTTTTCACATCAACACCCCTCCAAATAGTAGTGTCCTTTGCCCCTCTCACATAACTCCCCACAGTAGTGTCGTCCTCTGGCCCCCTTCCCCCCAACCCCACAGCAGTGTCCTCCTCTGTCCCCCTTTACATCACCTGACCACAGCACTGCCCTCCACTGCCCCCTTTCCCCCCCCCCCCCCCACCCACAGCAGTGTCCTCATCTGCCCCCCTTCACCCCACCCCAAGGCAGTGTCCTCATCTGCCCCCCTTCACCCCGCCCCAAGGCAGTGTCCTCCTCCTCTGCCCCCCTTCAACCCCCCACAATAGTGTCCTAACCCCCCCCCCCCCCCCCACACACACACAGAGTAGTGTCCTCTGCCCCCTTCACCCACATCCCCCCACACAGCAGTGTCCTTTTCTGCCCCCCTTCACCCCACCCAAAAGCAGGGTCCTCCTCTACTCCCCTTTAACACCCCACAATAGTGTCCTCACTTACAACACAGAAGTGTCCATCTCTTTCCTCCTCCCCCCTCACCCCCCACCACGGCAGTGTCCTCCTCTGCCCCCCTTCACATCACTCTGCCCCTCCACCCTTCCCTTCCCCCTCCTTCACAGCCATGTACTAGCCCCTTCACTCTCCTACCTCAGAAGGACAAACACAGCAGAGTGGAGGGTAGGATGCACAGCAGCACTGGGCAGTCCTAGCAACCAATCACCTGCTGGTTAAATCAATCTAAAGCACCCAGCATATTTCCTGTCTGTTCTCTTCCCCCTCTGTTATCTGTGTGAGTCACTTGTGACTGTCCATCCTGAAACCACAGAATCCTGGAGGATGATCCTGCCCCCCCCCCCCCCCCCAGCCCACAGAAGGTGATTGACAGCCTCAGCTGTGCATGTTTCCCTATGAGACTGTGTGTGGGGGTGTCCATTCCCTCCACTCCGGTATCAGATTACGCTCAGCTCCCTTATCTGTGCTCTGCAGTGTGTGATGTTAATCCCTGTGCCCCTTGCCTGCTGGAGCTCAGAAATGGTGTGTAAAATGTGCTTTAGGAGGCTATAGAGGAGAGAAGGCTGCAGGTAAAAATGTACAACTTATGTAGGAGGATTTGTATAATCTGTGTATCACCTGAGGCTGGTTACTTCCCTGGGTACATGCAAGGTTTACAACCACTGTTTAAGACATGCAAACTAGCACACATCGATGTGAGTTCAACCTCCAGGTTTTACTGCAGGTTAATAAATAAAAACTAGCATTTAACTGATTGCTGTGATTAACAGTCAAACGCTACATCCTTCTGCTTTTAATAAAGGATACCAAATATATTACCAATACACTGTAGTATCTATAAAAATCACCTTATATAATGATGATAATAATAAAAAAAACATTTTGGAAGTAATCATAAAGGAGTGTAGGAGGAGGGAGATGTGTTGCTATAGGAAGAAAAGAAAATACAATTTTTATATCTGTAGTGAACAAATGTCATGACTTCCTAATCGCTAAGTAGCAATCCTAACCGCACACTATAAAATGATTATAGACATGGCCATACTACCAGTCAAATCCCAAGCTTGCCACCTTCCCAAACAAAACATTTCTAGGAATTTCATTACGAGGTGTGAAAACAGCTGGTTCCTGGCCAGGTATTACCATGGAGGAAAAAGCCAGTACAAGTTGTGCATACATTTCTTAGTGATTCATAGCCTGGAACGCAGCGAGCTCAGCTGTACGCTTTGCCGGCTCATGGGGTGGGAGGCGAGGTGTGCTCTGCAGATGTGATGACGAGAGGGAGCAGGACTGGGATGTAAAGAGTAAAGTGGGCATTTCCGAAGGAAAATACTGTCACACTCTGCAAACACTGAATGACAGAACTAATAGAGCCAAACCAAAGGAGGCTGAAATCCAGTAAGTACGGGGACAAAGGCATGCAGTAAATCTTAGTACACACAATTCTCGGCATAACTCTTCATAAAATGGTGTGGGAAATATTTCTCACATTGGCACACAGTCTAAAATTCTCTTGTGAAAATTGTTTTCTTACCTGGCTAATGTAAGGCCAATTCCATTGTCTGAAAACCTGGAGGGGACAACAGACATTGAATAAGAACAATGGACAACCTTAGCACTAGGAGAGAACTGACTTAAAGTGGTTCTAAAGACTTATTTGTGTCAAATAACAAACGTGTATACTTTCCTGCTCTGTGTTGTGGTTTTGCACAGAGCAGCCCGGATTCTCCTCTTCTCGGGTCCTCCACTGGCGCTCCTGACCCCTCCCTCCTGTCGGGTGCCCCTAAAGTAAGCAGCTTGCTATGGGGGCACCCGAGCATGTGCACTCCCCATCCGCTGCTCCGTGTGTCCTTTCACTCATGGAGCTGCAGCTAGGCCCCACCCCTCTCTCTTCTCATTGGCTTACTGGCTGTGATTGACAGCAGCAGGAGCCATTGGCTAATGGCTAATGACAAGAAGGAGTACCGGGATAGCAGAGACTCCAGTGTACATCGATGGATCGAGAGGGGGTTTGGTGAGTATTAGAGGGGGCTGGGGGGGATGCTGCACACAGAAGGTTTTTTACCTTCATGCATAGAATACATGAGAGTAAAAAACCTTGAGCCTTTACAACCACTTTATCTGAATAGTTTTGATTTATGAACAGATATAGTATTAGTCTTGATATTTCATTCTTCCCATTCTTATCCAACATCATAGCAGCCTGATACTGTAAGGGGTCTATTTATAAAAATGTGTTCAGACATTCCCACAGCCGTAATGTGTATAATATGTTTACTTCCTATGATCTTCAGCTCCGTTTACTGGCCATAATGCTGTATTTCAGGAAAGTAACACATTGTGGCTACAAGGTGGAGCAGACAGATTTAAAAGACGTCCTGAGGGGGCATCACATTGTCTTCTCACCACCTGTCAAACGATGTGCGTTCGTGTTGCTTTTCAGAGGGGTGGCAGTTTAGATGCAAGTCTAAACCAAGCCTAACGAGATTATTACTGACGGCTATGTGAATGCTCAGATATTCGCTCAGGGATTTTTTAAAAATAGTATTTCATAAGGGCCGTCATTTTTAAAGTGGTTGTAAAGGCTGAAGGTTTTTACCTTCATGCATTCTATGCAAGAAGGTGAAAACCTTCTGTGTGCAGCTATGCCCCCAGCCCCCTCAATATTTACCTCAGCCCCATCGCGATCCAGAAATGTGAATGACAGTCTCGGCTGTCTCAGGTCTCTGCCTCCTCATTGGCTAAAACAGCAATCAATCTCCCGCTGCTGTCAATCACAGACTGTCAGCCAATGAAGGGGGGGGCGGGGGTCAAGCTGTGGCTCTGTGTGTGAATGGACACATGGAGCAGTCGATGCCCCCATAGTAAGCTGCTTGCTGTGGGGGCACCCGACAGACAGGAGGAGCCAGGAGAGCCTGTGGGGGACCCGAGAAGAGGAGGATCCAGGCTGCTCTGTGCAAAACCACTGCACACAGCAGGTAAGTATAGATATTTTACAGGAAAAAAAATGAACCTTTAGACTTGTGTATTGTTTTGTTACTGTATTGTCTCATGTTCTGTCCCCCACTATAATGTACAGCGCTGAGAAAACCTTTTGGCGTTATATAAATACTGTCTAATAATAATAATTGCTTTAAAATGATCTTGCATGAGAACTGTCTGTACCCAAGTCACCACAAGTCCCATTAAAACATTTAGATAACATTTTTATAGATGGAATTAGAAATTTTAAATATGGTTAGTGGAGGAATTAAAACCAGACAGCTCTTGTGTGAGTCCCATACAAATGGAGGTTATTGTAGAATTTCTTAGTGTGTGTACAAGGCTTGATAAGGCCAAACATTTTAGGAAGCAGTCATACACTAGATGTCAGCCCTATGTTTGCCATGAACAAGCATGTATTCAGAGTTGCAAGCATACAAAGTGCCATTACCTATCTTCTGTACAGTTGTAACGGTGTGCCAATTCTCCCAGCATGCTCACAGAAACTCCAATTTCCCAATTTTAAATTCCATTTCTTTCAGCTCTGTGAGATCCTGGACACACCCAGGGAAGAAAGGTTTCCCTCAACAGCTTAGAGAGGTCACAACTGATGAGGCAGAGGTAGCACCACAAGTGATCTGCAGCCTGGGGAGAGGCCCTCCACTGTCACAGCTGGTGTGTGGGCAGGCAGGCCAGAGACTAAAAGCAGGCAGCTTCTCAGGAAGACCTAGCTACTGAGGTGAGCCACTTTCCAATTGCTACCAATGCTTTGTCCTTGGGTCTTGGATCCCTCCAGCTTGTTCCCCTGTGTTACTAGAGCTGAGCTACCCTGGACCCTGCAGGGATACTATCTATGAGGATAATCACAAGTAGCTGTGTTCTGTACAGTTTTACTGAAGTTGTGATTCCCAGCAAGACCCTCTGTTACTATAGAGTCTAATGGAGACAGTGTTATGCAACCACTTTGATGGAGCCACAGAAACATTGCTATGAAGGGTCCATGTTTGTGCAACTTTCATTATTTTGCAATTTATGCAAGCATTTCTTTTACATTTTGAACCTGGTTTGCACAAGTGTTTGCACAAGTGCACTAGTGCAGGCCATGCAACCTGCATTTGCATGGACATGGCAGCCCATTGATTTGCACCTTTTTCAAAATGGATCCGCATGGAAACTGCATAGTCTTTTTGACCATGTGGTTTCTGTTCAGTTCCCACACCACACAATCACGCCATGATCACGCTGTGGGATGAGATGTGTTGGGGTTGCATCTTGCAAGAGAAACACAATGCGATGCAATTCCTGCACCCGCAATATGTGGGCTACTGTGAACCTAGCCTTAAAATTACTCCCTGTCTGATCATTCAGCCAATTACTATTCTGAGTAAGGCTAGGTTCACATATGTGTGGGTGGTGCTGCTGCGGATCCGCACAAAAATCCGTGCAGCCGCACAGAGAAATGCGGACCCGCGGGAGGGTGTCATTAATTCTAATGGCATGCCGCCCGCACTGGAAATCGCAACTGTTCTGGGAACCAAGGTTCCCGTGTGGGCTGCAGTTTCCAAAGAAGTGCAGAGACTTCTTCCTTGCATGTCCCGGGGCACGGGAGTCCATTCAAATGAATGGGCTCTCGTGCCTGCGCAAAACAAGGCCCGCACGGTCACGTATATGTGAACCAGGGCTAAAGAACAGTATAAAACAGAGGTCTCCAAATTTTCTAAACATACGGCCAGGTTGTCAGTAGAAGGAAATGTACTCCATCGTTGGTGTCATTGGAAGGAACAGTGCCACAAGGGCTGTATAATGGCAAGCAGAGGGCAAAATCTGGCCCATGGGCTGCACCTTTGGAAGCCACTGCAAAAAAACATAGCCAAGTTATGTGTAAATATTTGAAAATGATCATTACTTTGAATAATTGTATTCCAGAACAGTTAGCTTGGGTTGTCTTGAGGCACCCTAAACATGAAATGGTCTACTGAACTTAATAAATGTGGCCATATTAAGAGACACTTGCGCTTCATGTATACGAGCCTACTCTGACCACCAGCTGCTGGGAAACACAAACTGTGGCAAAAACGTGGTACTGTGGTTACAGCGTTTTACTGTCTTTTGCGTTTTCCTGCGGTCGGCGGTAAAAACGTTCCTATCCTGAACATGAGGGAGATTTAACCTCACTTAAACGCGGCAGCTCCTAAACTCTGCTAAAAGCCTATGTGTACATGGACACATGGGCTTTTATGGAGTTGAGTTTAGGAGCTTTGGCAAAAAAAAATGCAAAAAGCTCTTAAACTTGAGTTTAGCAGCTGCTTGTGTACATGTTCCCTCTTAGATTGTAAGCTCCAAGGATCAGGGCCCTCCTTTCCCTCTTGTATTGAACTGTATTGTTGCTGTATTGTCTCCCTCTATATTGTAAAGTGCTGAGCAAACTGTTGGCGCTATATAAATCCTGTATAATAATGAAGCCTTACACTTATGTCAAAGAACACCTTAAAATCACCACTTTCAAGAACTGTCCTTCAACACCTAAGCATGCATTAGTGCACTTCACTAGCAAATGACATACCCTGAGTTGCGAAAGATGACATCCCCGCCTCTGGCCCATGCACCATGGTCATTGTTTTTAAAGGCTATGAGTCTGTCAATAAGAGCAGGCACTCGAGGTTTAGCTGGATCCGAATCTTGGTGAGGACGGAATCTAAAAAAGTAGGAAACACAGCTATTAGCAGGAAAAAGCAATTCATCTGATGAGGTCTTTCAGACAGGAGACCAGGCACGGCTTAACAACATTTTTTAAAGATGAGTTTTGCGAGATAAAGGGCTACAAATTCTTTACATAGTATTATGACACGTACACAACCAGATTTTTGCTTCGGTTTTGGTATCAAAGCCCACAGAAATGTGAAGTTCAGGAACACATGAGGCTGCCATTGCTGATCTCCTACTTGGCTGACTCTGGCCTCAGTACATTACCAGTCACTGACCAGGAAGAAGCAGGCAGAGAAGTCAGAACACGTAATCTGCTCACTTGTATAACAGGGCTTCGGAAAGCAATAAGGCCAGCTATTATATCAGCATGGCAAGTGGTCAACTACAACTTCCAGAGAGATCAGCAATGGAAGCCAATGTATTCCTTAGTACAGGTTTACCTCCAACACAGAACAAGATTTTTCATAACTGAATTGTCAAATCTTACAATTTCTGTACAGTGTGCATACAAAGCAGGAGACAGATTATGGCAGCACCTCTAATAGTCAATGATGTTTCTGTTAAAGGTAAAATAGAATGTATTTTTGGCAAGCACACAATCTAGGATATTTTTGTATGTGCAACTTAACCCATTGATGTAATGATTTCCCAAACCAGTGACATTCCATAGATGCTGTGAATGATAACAGTCACAGCTGATTGAGTCTCATCCAACAGTCAATCCATTACTGATCACATGTGTAACACCATGCCAACTGATAATCAAACAGAGGCTAAGATGGCAGTTTCCTTGGCTGTAAAGGATGGGGGGGAGGTTTAAATCCTAACATTGGATTTATTTTATTTGCTCCCTTTTGATCTGTTTAATATACCATTGAAATTGTTTTGTAATATCTCTTCCTTAAAGCGGAGTTCAACCTGAAAAAAAAATAATTAAAAGTCAGCAGCTACAAAAACTGTAGCTGCTGACTTTTAAAGTACAGACACTTACCTGTCCCTCGATCCCGCGGTGTCCTCACCACTGCTGGTTTCACTGGCTGTCTTCTCTCCCTGGCGCCGGTATGTTTATTGTGGGAACCCGGCTGTGACAGCTTGCGGATTCACAGCCAGGTGTCCACTGCGCACGCGCAAGAAGCGCTGAGCTTTGTAAATGGTCCCGTAGTCTTCTGGGACCTGTCATATGTCCCAGAAAACTACGGGGAGGAAGGACAATTCCGCTTCCGATCACCTAGGCGATCACAGCGAAAGTGGGAATGGGTACCTGTCAGATAGGGAGGGAGTACATTGTTTGTAGTGAGTTGGCTGACCAATAGGCATTGTGAAAAGAATCTGTAGCCATACATTGACCGAAATTTGTCCCGTCCAGCAGGAAGCAGCTAAATTTTGATCAGTGTGTGGGCTCACCCGATCGACAGAAGTCAATTGTTAAACCAACTTTTGTTGAAGGGACATGTTAGAAAAATTTCTAATGATCAGCCGCTGCAGCCACTAATCAGTATACAATATCCCAGCAGGGGGATTCCTCCACCATCCTTGTTTGTTCGCTGGCTAAGTGAAAAAAAAATTGAAAACGCTGTGCAAACTGTTATACAAATCCTGTATATTAATAATTTTAGTCTAAGTTCACTTTTTCAGAAAAAAAATAAATAAAAGGTGAACCAACACCCTTCCCACCCCCCACGGTCCTTGCTGATGAGCTGTCAGTGCCCACCCAGCCTGTGTAGTGGTTTCAGGATTTGATATCCCCGTTATTCTTCACCACCTTTCTGCAGGGCTTCCGAAGGATTTATGAGACAGATCAGAGTGATTCTGATTAGTCAAAAAAGGTCACAGACCAATCAAAATTGCTCTGATCCCTCCCAGAAGCCATACAGAGAGAAAAGGGAGGAGAAGGGGTTTCATCCCTGGATACAACATAGGCTGAGTGGGCACTGACAGCTCATCACCCACAGAGGTGAGTACAGTAGGGACCAGGGGGTGGGGAGGATGTAAGGTTCTAGTTCACCATTTTTTCTGAAAAAGGTGAATTAATCCTTTAAATTAAAATTATTTTAAAGAAATGCAAAAGAAGAAGCAGAACCTGCATATACAGTATAATGAGAAAAAAAGTGTATATATAATAAAAGTATATATGTAAAATTTGGACTACTGCAAGGAGTTTAAATTAATTACATACTATAACATTACAGATTATGCTGACCTCTTTTACATGTACATTTAAAGTGTTACTAAACCCTGCATTCACTATATCTGGTCTCCCAGGACCCTGCATTCACTTATCTGGTCTCCCAGGACCCTGCATTCCCTATATCTGGTCTCCCAGGACCCTGCATTCACTATATCTGGTCTCCCAGGACCCTGCATTCACTATATCTGGTCTCCCAGGACCCTATCACTATATCCGGTCTCCCAGGACCCTGCATTCACTATATCTGGTCTCCCCGACCCTGCATTCACTATATCTGGTCTCCCAGGACCCTGCATTCCTATATCTGGTCTCCCCAGACCCTGCATTCACTATATCTGGTCTCACAGGACCCTGCATCACTATATCTGGTCTCCCCGGACCCTGCATTCACTATATCTGGTCTCCCCAGACCCTGCATTCACTATATCTGGTCTCCCCGGACCCTGTATTCACTATATCTGGTCTCCCACAGTACACACAACATGGAAGTGCAATTATTTTAGTAAATATAAACTGCTAAATACCTTTTCTCATCAGCAGTTAGAGCAGTCTTGTGACTTCTATCACTGTTCAGCAGAGCACTGGTTAATATTGTAGAAGGAGTTTTCATTCTCCTCTGACTGTCCTATGAGGCTGCATAACCCTTGACCCTCTGTCTGGACAGTACTGATTGGCCCTGTGCTGATCATATGTATCCTCCAAAAGAGGAAAAAGAAATTCTAGCAATACACACTAAACTGAACATGTGCAGACTTGCTACTGCTGCTCTAACTATGGCAGATGGATTGGGGACTGTGGAAGAAGGGGAGGATCAGAGAAGACAGGATCAAACAGTATTTTTACACAATGCGGAGGATTAACCCCTTAGGTTCCACAGTGAGTATAACCAGCATGCTTTACTGCATATACAGACTGATTTTACTGTTGTGGGTTTAGTAACACTTTAAGCTCACATTTTCTATCCCTAAGCCGTCTGATATGACAGCCAAAATATGGACTGAATCCATTCGACATCCCCAAAATACAGAGTGTAGGGGGCCAAATTCATTTTAAATGTAATATGTCTATGGTTTGTATTTCCAACACATTGAAAGTGTATCTAAGCACAAAAATGTAATGCATTGCAGCTTACCAATTCTTAGATGTGATGGCTGAATTAGTGTTCTTTTTTCTGTTTTTTTTTTCCCCTTTTTTTTAACCTGGTGATCCAGGCGTGTGCCTCCTGTCTTTGGGTAGCTACACTCATTGTAGGGCCAGATTTAGACCTCGGGGGGTTTGGGGCACTTCAAATTTTGGGGGTCCTCATACACAGAGCTGGTTTACATTCTCAATCACAGTCACACATTTTTAGAATACATGACACACCGTCATTCTGAGGTCAAGCATGCGCACACACGCATTCATGGGCCATCTTCATTAAGAGCTTAAGCACTAAGTAAGAGCTTAAGTAATTTTTATCATTATATATTTTATATTATTGTATTATTATGATTTTTTTTATTACTTATATATAATACTTTTATATTGCTTTGTAATATTTTATGTATAGACACAATGCAAAGGACTAAACACTTGGGTTCCACAGTGAGTATAACAAGATCTTCTTGTTTCTTTTTATCGGTCATGCTGGAAAATCCTTGAAAAACAGCCGTTTTTCGTAAGCATTGGTGGCAGCATCCATGGCAGCAACGACCGATTTTTCGTTTATTGGCCGACAATTCGGCCGATAAACGGCCCGTCTATGGCCAGCCTAAAGATGGATTGGGGACAGTAGAAGAAGGGGAGGGAGGATCAGAGAAGACAGGATCAAACAGCCTTTCTACACAATGCAGAGGATTAACCCCTTAGGTTCCTGAGTGAGTATAACCAGCATGCTTTACTGCATCTACAGACAGATGTTACTGTTGTGGGTTTAGTAACACTCTAAGCCTTACATACCCTTTAAACACATTCAGATAAGTAAAAAATAGATAGCAAATCAGCAATACCCACAAAACATTTATAATATGCTTTTCTAAGAGAAATGGTATCCATTCACTACAAAAGAGATCCAAGGTCCCAAGTGAGGCAATATTCCCAGGAATGTGAGTTATCAATCCACAAGGATCCAGAGCCGTCTGAGGGACTGAACGCTCTGTTCTTGATGCAATAACATTCCCTAAAACAATATTGTTTCAGCCTGCACAATGATACCTCAATGCGGTGCTGACAACCGAGGACTCACCGTGCATTGTCCACAGTTAGATACTCTCTGGGGTTCTCTGCATTTGCTTCTGTAGTTTTGACTCCTTTTCCAATGAATAAACCTGCCTGCAAGTCAAGGATTAAAAATTTCAACTTCCATGAAAATGTTTTATTATTTAAAGTATAACTGAAGACCAAACTTTTTTTTTCAAATTTGGATAGAGTGAGGGGGGACTAGAACACAGGTCAGGGGATACGTCCAAAAGGCACTGGGACTTAAATTTTTATTGATATGGAGTAGTAAAGGGAATGATGGCAATTATTTGAAGACCTCATCTGTTCTGGTTAGACGGCTCACATGCAACCAGGGCTACCCTTCAATGGGCACCCAGGAATGTCACTTAGAGCTTAAACCAAAAGTAGGAGCACCACATAAAATAATGTGGGCAGCACAGTGGCTATATGGTTAGCACTTCCGCCTGGCAGTACTAGGGTCGTTGGTTCAAATCCCAACACCGGCACCACCTGCCTGGAGTTTGCATGTTCTCCCTGTGCCTGCGTGGGTTTCCTCCGGGTACTCCGGTTTCCTCCCACACTCCAAAGACATGCTGGTAGGTGAATTGGATCCTGTCTAAATTGGCCCTAGTATGTGTATGTATGAATGTGAGATAGGGACCCTTAGATTGTACACCCCTTGATGGTTAGCGACTGATGTGAATGTATAATATATATGTAAAGCGCTGCATAAAATTGACAGCGCTATACAAGTACCTGAAATAAATAAATAAAGAGGTCCAAAACAGCTTTAATCATTCTCAAAACAGCTAATGCATTTCAGGGCAAAACATGCCCCCCCCCCCCCCCCCCCCCTCATTAGTGCTTAGTAATGTTTACATATGTTTTGAATGGACTCAGTGAAGCAGATGCCAAAGAAATCTTGAACTTACTGCTTTCAAAGGAATCTGATGGGGCAGAATTATGCCAGTTACAACATTACTGATCCTTGATGAATGGAGACTGTGTCTTGCCTCAAAATGCACTAGCTGTCTTGTGAACCAATAACCTCTTCAATACTGGGCACTTTTACCCCCTTGCTGCCCAGGCCAATTTTCAGCTTTCAGCGCTGTCACAGTTTGAATGCAATTGCACGGTCATGCAACACTGTACCCAAATTTTTTCCACACAAATGGAGCTTTCCCTTGGTGGAATTTATTCACCACTGGGTGCCCTGTTTATTAGCGTAAACAATGTGCTTACTGTGCTCTGTCAGATTTACTGGTTATCGGCTCTCCTTTCCTCACACTGATAACCGCAAGTCTGTTTACATATGACCTGCTGTGATTGGACACAGCTGATCACATAGTAAAGGGCCGCTGTGATTGGCTCTTTACCACGGCTGTAGCCATCTTTCGGCTATAGCGCGGTCAGGATGCAGTTAAATCTGTTTTGGACACCTTTATTATTTTGGTATGGCACTCCTTTTGGATTTGGGAGATTTATCTTCTTTAATTGTCTTTATCATTATCACAGAAAATGAACATGGAAGAAAATCCCAAACTATGAGTTTCCATCAGGACAGGAATAGAGGGGAAATCTTGCTATGGGCACACTAGTTTCGATTACTACCAAGGATTTTCCTCACTTTGGAGGGATTTCCATTACCTTCCTGTTGTGGCTATGGGACACAGTGGCACCTTAATAGCATCATGGGCCCCTGAGCAGAGTAATGCCCTCGGACCCCTACACAGTGGGTGTGGCTACATTCTGCTATATATTGGGCTTGGCATTTTGGTCTGATTATACTTTTTTGTCTGATTTTTTTAACATAGTTTTAAATGAATGTTATACATTTTTTTTCACAACGCTATTGGGGAGTCTTTGGGGAGATATCAGGGTCTAAACAGATGCCTGAAGTCTCACTTTTGAGACAGAGGAAGGGACTGAGGAAACACATACACTAGTTCCTTACTCAAGTCTCAGCTTTACAGCAGAAGAATGAACAGGAGGCAAAGGCTCCTGTGCATTCATAAACTGAAGCATAGCAAAAAAACGTTTACTATGTTTCAGTTATGAATGAACACAGTGAGTGATTGATACCATTCACTCACTGTGTTCATTTAGAAAAGGAATGGGCTGGTAAATTACCCTTCCCCCCCACTCTCCATCCTGAAGTTCCCAGGAGAGAAGAAGAGGGGAAGCCAGTAGAGCTAGGGAGGGGGGACACACAGGGGGCCCAGGCAGTGAGGGTAATCTGACAGTGGACAGCCTGGAAGGGGTAATCAGTGTGGCAGGTGGGGGAAATTACTTGAACCGATCCTTTGTGGCTCACCCTGCAGCAGCTGGGAGGGAGGAGAAGATGCTGGCTTTCTGCTGCTGCTGCCCCACCCAGGCACTGATCACGCCGCTGGAGGGGAGGGACTGCAGGGGCCCTCCATGCACCTGGGGTCCCTGGACAGTGCCCAGGGGTGCCTGTACAATAAGAGGGCCCTGATGGGACAGGAATGGAAGGAAAGTCATAGACGCAAAAAAAAAAAACAGGCATTATATCCCTCCTATACTCTAGCCAAAATGAAAAGTGCAGTTCTACTTTAATATATTAGATAGTTTGACAAATGGAATGCTTATTTACCTTGAAATTAGAGTGTACTCTGTTGTTGTGAAAAATACCCAAGGGGGTGAATTCTGATTCGCCCTCTGGGTAATGCCCCTCTGAAAGACCGGTTGGAACTCTATGGAATATGAACCAGATGCCAACATCCTGAATAGAAAATAAGTAAGGGGAAAGAAATCAATAAGGGAAAGGGTGTGTCGTTAATGCCATGATATTCAGGTGCAGGCTGCATTTCGTGAAAGTCAAAAAATGGCACTGCAGCGTCATCATACAATTAAATCATTGTCAAGTTTAAAAAAGGAATATATAAACAGTATCAACTCCCTATACTCCATATAGTAAAAAAAATTGAATTGGCTTCTATCAATTATCACCTCCCCATATTCCATATAGTAAAGAGGCTACTGTCAGTTGCCCCCCGGCCCCCCCCCCCCCATACTCCATACAGTAAAGAGGCTACTATCAGTTACCCCACCCCCATACTTCATATAATCAAGAGGAATTGAATTGGCTTCTATCAATTATCACCTCCCCATACTCCATATAGTGAAGAGGCTACTATCAGTTACCCCCCCCCCCCCCCCATACTCCATATAGTAAAGAGGCTACTATCAGTTACCCCCCCCCCCATACTCCCTCCATACAGTGAAGAGAAACTCAATTGGCTACTATTAATTATCACTTCCCTATACTCCATATAGTAAAAGAAATTGAATTGGCTACTATCAATTATCACCTCCCCATACTCCATATAGTAAGGTGGCTACTATCAGCTACCCCCTCCCCCATACTCCATATAGTAAAGAGAAATTGAATTGGCTGCTATCGATTATCAACTCCCTACACTCCACACAGTGAACAGAAATTGAAATGGCTATTATCAATTATCACCTCCCTATACAACACACAGTAAGTAAATTGGCTACTATCAATTATCACCTCCCTATACTCCGCTTTCTACTGTAGCTAGCTGTACATTGTGTGATATCACTGATCTGTGCAATGTCTGAATACATTTTATATTGCTTTATGTGGTGTTAGTCTAGGTTCACACCTATGCGTTTTCCGCTGCATTTTGCAAAAACACACAGCAGTCCATTTAACATGATTTCCTATGGGACACGTTCAAAACTCCACGTTTTCACCCGGTATGTTTTTTGGAAAGGGTCAGGGACTTTTTTAAATGCAAAACGTTGGGTTTTTGGTTCTATAGACGTCAATGGAGATGCTGCAGAAAAGAATGTAACGCGTTTTTGATGAGTTTTTGACACGTTTTTGACATGTTTTTGATGTGTTTTATTCTGCCCAGCTACAAGTTGGAAAAAAATGCAAAATACATCAAAAACGCAAAATACACTGCAAAAGCACTGCAGAAATGGATCAAACGCAAACTGCATAGGTGTGAACCTAGCCTAAGTGAGTATTTACACCTAGACAGATTAGATTTAGCACCGTAACTTGTAACAAAAGGAACATGTATCACCCAGGTGATCTGGAGTGCGACACACCTATATAACTATACGTATATATAGTAACCTCATAAAACTCATCAGGCATTAAAGTCTGCAAACATATAAAGTTGCAAAGTTCCTGAATATACTATACACCATGATCAGTGCTAATAATTATATTGAGAGACAAATCAGACTTCCTGTAGAAAGTACAGACATCTGATGACTGAAAAAACATCGACTCACTCAGTTAATGGCAATTATTAAAAAGGCAATAAAGTGAAAAAAAAAGAAATAAAAGGTTAAGAAAAAAGTAAATGGCTTGTTCCCCCCACCAGAATACCCCCATTTCAGGGAACGCTTCAGGGAATTCTTTGCTTTGCTCATTTATAAATATACAATTTCTTTACATGTTTATTATTGATGCAAATTATTATTCTATTAAATCAGGGGAACAGAAAATCTATCAAATAAAAGTACTGTATATTCTATAAACAAGCTGTGTGCAAAGGACTATCAGCATTCTAAACACAATATTTAGAGGAATGGTAATGAAAAAATACACAAAGTCATCAGACTCCATATAAATACACTATCAGTTATGAAAGGGAGCCAATAATGTCTTACACTGTATCGCTCTCAGCTGCTAAACCTACATATGATCGGAATTCATAAATGCCACAAAACAGAAGATTTGCTGAATAACTCACAGGTTCAGGTTACAATCTATGCTTGAGAAAGAACATGAATGTCTGATAATATGACAACTCATGTAGCCTGTACCTGTGATATATTTCATTAAATCCTATATAGGTATGCTGCAATTCTGTCCGCACGGAAAAAATACCCTCTTCCCTGTGTTGCCTTCTGCTTGGAGTATGTGTACCACATTTTGGTATGCAGTTAGTTATTGCATTGCGGTAGTATACAGTCTATATTGCATCGTGGTAGTATATATATAGTATATTGCATTGTGATAATATACTCTATATTTGTATTAGGGTATTATACTGTACTGCACCGAGGTAGCATACACTATACAGTTGTGCTCAAACGTTTGCATACCCTGGCAGAAATTGTGAAATTTTGGCATTGATATTGAAAATATGACTGATCATGCCAAAAAAATGCTCTTTTATTGAAGGATGATGATCATATGAAGCCATTTATTATCACATAGTTGTTTGGCTCCTTTTTAAATCATAATGGTAACAGAAATCATCCAAATGGTCATGATCAAAAGTTTCCATCCCCTGGAATGTTTGGCCTTGGTACAGACACACAAGGTGACACATGCGGGTTAAAATACCAATTAGAGGTTAATGTCCCACATCTGTGGCTTTTTAAATTGCAATTAGTGTCAGTGTATAAATAGTCAATGAGTTTGTTAGCTCTTATCCGCGGCATCGCCATTACAGTGGCAGCGCTGCTGAGGGGACACGTGGAGGAGAGGTCCGCTCTCCTACGCTGAGAGAAGACACCCTCTCCACCGCCGCGGGGGACTCGAGGCCCGCTCTCAACCGCCTTGGGGGACACGAGGCCCGCTCTACACCTCCTTGGGGGACACGAGGCCCGCTCTCCACTGCCTTGGGGGACACGAGGCCCGCTCTACACCTCCTTGGGGGACACGAGGCCTGCTCTACACTTCTTGGGGGACACGAGGCCTGCTCTCCACCGCCTTGGGGGACACGAGGCCCGCTCTACACTGCCTTGGGGGACATGAGTAAGGTTTGTGCCTGGCTAGTAGGTCTGGACTTGAAATTTTAACCCCTGCACTATACAATATATTTTATTGGGGTAGTATACAGTATATACTTGCAAATAACACCACAGTGTAGCCACTATTTGGTTGACATTCTAGAAACACAGGAATACCATTGGGTGGAATACATTATTGTTATTAGTTCTACTGACAGTCCTGAAGCTTTTCTGGTGCTAGTTTTAAAGACAATTTTATTTTTTTACTTTTGTTATATTCTCTTCCAAATAATATAACGTGATACCGAACATAATTCCGTAAAGAGCTTGTTCACACCATGTCTCTTAAGCTATGTTTTACTTTTTTATATAGCATCACACATACTGTATATTGGACAAAGAAAAATGAACTTGTTTTTTGTGTGCCCTGTTCCCTTTATACTTGCTCAGCGGTATGCAGAAAAATGCAGCTCAATGGACATGAAGTGAACAAGCCCTTACTACTCTTGTCTATTTTTAAATTTTTTTTTTAACTATAGGAATTAAAGCCACTTCTCCAAGATGTGTAAAGAAGTGGAGATCCTGAAATAGATACATATACTGTGTTGTGTATATCTCCTTGTACTGACCTGTGCTCCTCCTGCAGCATTTCCAATTAGGTTGTTATTGGGGTTTGAGATCCAGAATGTGCTGACTGCCCTGTGAAGACAAGTCAAGGAACAATAAAACATAAAACTAACAATGAGAATTCATCTAACTATTGAGGGACAGCAATTCAAACATGAAAGACAAAACTATTAACACAGATGGTGCAGATCTGACCTAATCAGATGTGATGGAAGTGTGTCAAATATTACTGATAAATACAAATGACAGAGGTGCTTTATATAAGTGATGCCTACTCACATGCAGTCGGTGCTGGGCACAGGCACATAATCCCCATATACATGGTCCCGCATTGCTAAGCACATGACCTCATTGCGATCTGTAGGCAGGATGGTCCCAGCCTTCGTCACTAGTCCAAGGTTGTGATAAAAAGTGTTTCTTTGTTCCACACCATCTTCCAGGAAAAAACAGTGGCCAAGGGTGTCATAACCAATGGTATCCTTTACCTAAAAGTTTGGCGCAACCAAACAGAAATAAATGAACTTATGTAAACTTTGGCCAAACAGATATATATATATACAGTATATCACAGAAGTGAGCCCACCCCTCGCATTTTTGTAAATATTTTATTCTATCTTTTCATGTGACAACACTGGAGAAATGACACTTTGCTACAATGTGACGTAGTGAGTGTACAGCTTGTATAACATGTAAATTTTCTGTCCCCTCAAAATAACTCAAAACACAGCCATTAATGTCTAACCTCTGGCAACAAAAGTGAGTACACCCCTAAGTGAGAAGGTCCAAATTGGGCCCAATTAGCCAATTTCCCTCCCCGGTGTTATGTGACTTGTTAGTGTTACAAGGTCTCAGGTGTGAATGGGGAAAAGGTGTGTTAAATTTGGTGTTATTGCTCTCACTCTCTCATACTGGTCACTGGCAGTTCAACATGGCACGTCATGGCAAAGAACTCTCTGAGGATCTGAAAAAAAGAATTGTTGCTCTACATAAAGATGGCCTAGGCTATAAGAAGATTGCCAAGACCCTGAAACTGAGCTGCAGCACGGTGGGCAAGACCATACAGCGGTTTAACAGGACAGGTTCCACTCAGAACAGGCCTCACCATGGTCGACCAGGGAGAGTGAGAGCAATAACAAGGCTAATACCTCTGGATTGTATGTGGAGGCAGAAGTGCAATGCCAGGAACGCCTTGAAGGGGAGGCTTTGCAGAACTGATCACATTGCTGGAGGGACCTTGCCAGTGCGAGGATTAAGGTGAGTATTACACTTTAGTCATGCACCCCTAGAATTAACAAGCACTTAGTCCTTGCAGTGTGGGGGAAGGGGACGTTACAGGGGTAGATTTTTTTTCTTTTGTGTCTGGTGTTGGGCTTTAGGTGGAGGTTATTATAAAGGACTTTTTTTTAGTAATCTGATTTTGTTATATCTTTGATATTACAGGTAGCAGGCACAGAACGTTGTGAAGGACAGACTATGAGATTTTATGGACAAGAATGGTTGATGGAAGTTAATGATATAAAAGAATTTTAAGCCCCATACCAGCAGACCATGAGTTCCATGAATAGCGACACATCTGGAAAAGCAATGATGGATGGCCAGGTTGTCAATGTATGTGGAGGGACTGTACCCGCCTTCTTCATCCACTGCTCCAGTCATATGGAAGTGTACGGGATAACTGCCCAGAAGCTGCTGTCCCATCTTCGTGAGCTCTACCCCTGACAGGTGCACGGAACCAAAGTGATTCTGGATCTATTTATAAAGGAAATGCAATAATTTAGTCACAGCTCGTTCACATGGGAGTGGTAAAAGCAGGTGGATAAACCACAGTTTTACTGCCCCCAACCATCCACCTAAAGAAGGACATGCAGCCGCTTAGGGCTGTACACAAACCTTGTTACAAATTAAGGAGGGGTTTATCTTTTGAAAAAAAATAATAAATGCATTTTTTTTTTGCAGATCAAAAAACTGTGTATATATCATTTTTTTCTAAGGGACCTGCAGAGCATTACACCCCAGACCATTAAATTGTAACCTCAGGCTCCTGCAGACTCTCAGGACAGCTGCAGGCAGTTACCTGAGAGCAGAAAGATCAATGGACTATGAAAGTGCTTACCAACACTCTCATAGTTCATTGAGACCTTCAGGCCGTCAGCAGCACTGGATGACCGTCCTTATAGGCATTTATTCGCAGGAAACTGTGTGGGTGTAGCCTAGCATGGCCGTGCTATCTTCAAATTGTGACATTGAGTGCAGGGAAAAGATCCCCCACCCGCTGTCATAGGTTGGGGGAGGGGAGAGGCTGCAAATGCTGGAACATGTTACATGTTCCAACCTAAAATCACATTTATTTATTACAAGTACTTACAGTCAGGTTCATAAATATTGGGACATCGACACTATTCTAACGTTTTGGGCTCTATACACCACCACCTTTTATCTGCTCATTGTAATTGGGATAATGAAAGAATAACACACACCTGGCCATGGAGCAGCTGAGAAGCCAATTGTCCCATTACTTTTGGTCCCTTAACAAGTGGGAGGCACATATGCAAACTGTTGTAATTCCTACACCGTTCACCTGATTTGGATGTAAATACAAATTAAAGCTGACAGTCTGCAGTTAAAGCACATCTTGGTCATTTCATTTCAAATCCATTGTGGTGGTGTATAGAGCCAAAAATGTTAGAATTGTGTAGATGTCCCAATATTTATGGACCTGACTGTATATAGTGCTGCCAATTTACACAGCATTTACATATATATATTGTACATTCACATCATTGCCTACCCCTCAAGGGGTGCACAGTCTAAAGTCCCTAATTCACATTCATACATACATATACTAGGACCTATTCAGACAGGTTTCATTTAACCTGCCAGCATGTCTTTGGAATATGAGCGAAAACCCACACAGGCACAGGGAGAACGTGCAAACTCCAGGCAGGTGATGCCAAGGTTGGGATTCAAACCAACGACCCTTGTACTGCCAGGCGGAAGTGCAAACCATTTAGCCACTGTGCTGCCCATGTAACATGTTCCAAAGGTGAACTTATCCTTCAAGCCACATGTCTCATTCAGCAGTACCATTTAGGTGTATAGGGCTATGCCGCAACCCTCCCAATGCATGCATTTCCACCATGGTAGTTGAGCCTTGGTTAAACAGGTGGTGAGGAGGTGACATATAACCTGCTTATTGCCTGTCAAACACCCTCTGAAAAGCTATCCACTGCAGATCACTTTTTCAAAGGGGTGGTAAGGGCTGCTGCAAGTGAAAACAAGCCTTAATCAAGAAAAAAAGATGACTAGTTTGTTCCTTATAAAACAACAGGGCGACAACATGCAACCTATGTTTCAAGTAGTTGTACAATGGACAAAACATTTGTTCCATCCCATACTGAACAGCTCTGTGTAGAAGAATGATACACTTGTTTCTCTTCCTTGAAGAACACAACTAGATCTTGGTTATCTCCTAAGGCTACAAAACTGAGTTCCAGTCCTTCCTCCCAGATATTTTCTTACCCTTCACCTTGTGTCTGTCCCCTCAGCGCCTGACCAACCTTCATTCAGTGGTTCAGGGGCTTCTGGATTAAGCTGGAGGGAAAGAAGCAATCTGCAGGAAAGGACTGGAACTCTGTTTTGGAGTCAGAGGAGACAACTCCTCAAAGATCTGGCTATGTCCTTCAATGAACTCAAAAGGATTTTACAGTGAATACAAAAATCCCATTTTTTGCATTACAAACGTTACTCAAGTTATACATATTATGTTCCAAAAATACATTTCACCTAATATAAAAAATCTGCTGCAAAGAAAATTAGGAGACACAAACAGCAATCAGATAGATCCCATCTGGGAAATGAAATGTACATTACCTTAATCTGACCGCCAAATGTATCATAAGTGAAAAACTGGCAGTGGTTGGGCTCATAGCAGGCATCTTCCATTTCCCCTCTGATGAGGATATTCCTGGTCAGAAGTCCAACCTCTGCTCTCATATCAACCCCATCGATCACCTCACCCACGTGCATATACTGGGGGCTTCCTGGAGAGAAAAGTCAGGTCAGTGTTATTCAAGGAAAGAAATAATTATTACTTTATCCTCATTTCTTTACATGATATCAGCTATGTAATAATGAACATGTTGATTTAACATTCTGATAGCAAAGTGATTTTTTTCCATGCTTTTGCCAAAAAGTCTATTTGCTGAATTGTAAACAGACTGGAAACATTGCAATAAAGCTCTGGTCCTAGGCAAAGGAGAGGAGTGTAAATGAAAAGGAAGTGAAAGAAGGTCGAAGAGAAGAGATACTGTAAGTGGGGACAGAAGAGAGCAGAGAGGGCAGGAAGGGTGAAAAAGATATGAAATATAAAAAATAAGAAGACAGAAGTAAAAGAAAAAAGAGAAATAAAATGAGAAGAGAGGAGATTGGTCAACATGTGATTGATTTCCTGAGCAAAAAAACTAGTGCAAGGAGAAGTACTGGCAGCTGCTCAAAGCAAAACCCATTAAGGCCTGGTGAGGAGAGTGAGTGGGAGCAGAAAAGGATTGGTAGGGGCAAAAGCAGGCATGAGGAGCCAATGGACAGAAGGGAACAGCAGGACCTTGGCAGTATTCATCCTTAGCCCCCCCCATATCTATTAAATTGCAGGTTGGTTTCATGGTGATGTAGAAGCTTGTCATCTGGATAGGGAAGTCTCGAAAGGTGGATTCAGTACCCTCTCAGGGCAGAAAGTATGAATGACATTTCACATGGGTGACAAAAGGGCAGTTGATCCAAGTTTTTACTGCCCGTTGACCCCCAATCTAAATCCAGACATTGCAGCTGGACAGTGAAGTACACATGCCACAGCTGAGCTGCTTTGCTTTGCAACTCCCCCTGCAACTGAACTTGAGGGTCTGACAGGTGGCACTGCCTCTCAAACTTGCTCACTGGGGTCTATGAGACCATGGCAAAACCCAAGCATCTTGGTACTATCTCCCCCTGAATGCCAAGCAGCTGTTGCTCTACCGCCCTGTAAAAAATGTTCCAACGTGGAGTGTTTTTTAGAGGGTGGTGGGACTGCCGCCAGTGTGAAAGAGCTCTAACTACACCAGTGAAAGGGGAGGTGGAGACTGTGAACAGCTGGCATGGTGAGCACACCAAAAAGAGAGCATATCTCTACCTGCCCAGGGGCGACTGAGGGCAAGAAGGCTGAGTTGTAGAATGGCGTCCAGGCGGGCCAATTCTATGTTTTGGGGACTATGGAACCATGAGTGAGGTGCCACAATCTGCAGTAGGACTCCGTAGTGTTTTTAATATGAAATTGTTCAATAAAGCCCCCGCATTTCTGACATAAAGTCATGGTTCTGTATTTATAAGAATACCAGTTGGGGAAAGAAGAGGAGTAGGTCATCCAAGCCTTATTGAAGCAGTCTTTGGTTAGCCTTGCTCAGCCTACAATGGCCAAGAACACACCAGGCTTTGCCAAGGTCAGTACGAAGAAACATATTGTTAGTAGGTATAAAGCTGTATTGTTATTATTATAAAGAATTTATTCAGTATAGTACCAACAGTTTGCACAGTGCTTTACAAAATAACTATATATATATATATATATATATATATTGCCATATTACAGCTGAAAGTCTATAGTACCAGCAGCTGCTAAACAGTGTGGAAGTTTATTGCACCAGACATTTCTTACCATCAATTTTGACCTGGTTGTTTTTACATTCAGGGCAATGAAGCAGACTGAATTCTTCAGCTTGGTACATTGAGTAATCAGTACTTGCAATGACTATTCTGTTACCAGGCAACCAGGTGGTAACGTCATCCGCTAATGTGAGAATGATGCCCCTGGACACTGCCACTCTGAATCCATTCCTCGGAACGCCTAATGGGTCGAAGAAGAGGTGTTAATACCCAGCCGGAGAAGGAGGTGACTGAGAGACACATCCTTATCATCTGTGCTATGGAAATGAGTCAACAGGAAAATCTCTGACTTTTCTGGTCTAAAAAAATCTGTAGTTAGAAAATTCAATACTTTTTTTTTTTTTTCATTAGTCTATGTAAACTAACCAGCAGCTAGGATACTGTGTAGAACCACAAACTGCTAGGTGCCTTCCTATGAGGTTTAGATCAGCAATTACAGAAGCTTATCGGATACGTTTTTTTTATCACAAAGTACAACATTTCTTATATTACTAAACTAATAAAATTCTATGTATTATGTACTTATTACCTCCATAGCATTTATCATTTCATATGTTACCTTTATTCCAGCCACTGTAGGCAGTGACAGTGAAATGAAGTCCTCCATATGTCTGAAATTCTCTTGTTGCAATTGCCAGCCCAGTTGTTCCATTGTTTTCATACTGTTTTTTGTCCTCGGATACCTTTAGTGGGCTTTCTCCGAGCACACCAACCAAAGCCCAAGGTTGCCTGATCATAATAACATGGAAAATTTTGAATATTAATGACTTTCCATGCCAAAACCTACATTGTCCTGTTCACAGTAATAAGGATCATGTATACTTTTAGGACCCAATCACACCATAATGCGTTGCATTGCCCAGTGCAGGGCAGCTTTGCCCAATACAACCCACCACACAAACAAGGCAATTTGTCTTGTGTCTTATGTGTTCATTTCACACCACTACATTGCAGTGCTGCACAGTGAAAAAAAAAAGTCATCATCATTTACCTTTTTTAGCCACAACGTATGCCTGCATGGTTCCAGAGCCCATGCCACCTGGGAAACCCAGCAGCATGACACCAATGATCTTTTTAGCTGTCCTTAAGGGATACATACACCTTTGGGAGCATGTTACATGTTACATCTGTTTTTATGGTGGAAGATGTAACATGTTCCCACTGCTGATAGCAGCCCCCCCTCATCCCTGTGAGAGAAGTACAGGGAGAAGTCCCCCCTACTAGCTGTCAGACTTAAAAACAGTGTGGCTCCGCCAACACAGCCACGTCATTCATCCACAGAGCTCTGTGAATATAAGAAATACAAGCCATGACAGCCTTGGCGGCTGTTCGCTTGTAGTTCTCAATGAACTACCACGGCATTGAGGAGCACCATCGTAGTTCATTGAATCTTCCTGTCGCAGTATATCTGCTTTCCCATACATCCCATATGGGCAAGTATACTGACAGGCCTGCAGGAGACCTGCACGGCACCATAGATCTTCTGATCGTTAGTGCAATGCTTTACAGCAGGGGTGTCAAACTGGCGGCCCTCCAGCTGTTGCCAAACTACAAGTCCCATGAGGCGTTGCAAGATTGACAGTTACAAGCATGACTCCCAAAGGCAGAGGCATGATGGGACTTGTTGTTTTGCAACAGCTGGAGGGCCGCCAGTTTGACTTCCCTGCTTTAGAGGATCCTGCAGCCAAAAATAATAAATTCACATTGTTTTGCCTGTAAAAAAAATTTGCATCTGTTATTTTTTTGTCAATGGGTGAACTTACCCTTTAAGGGTAGCATTTTCACCAACACTGTAAGGGTTACATTCTTCCTACTTATCTATAAGAATGAGCTAAGGGAAACTGTTACATGATAGCAGACCAATTGCCGAATTCACTGCGGCAATGGAATTCCCATTCCCATGGACACACATAACAAAGGGACGGAGATGCTGGTGACATGGCCAAATGTGGTCAATTACATTGACCACAAACCTTAGTTAATTCCCTATTGGTCACTAAGGGAAACTGTCACATGATAACAGACCGTTGGCCCAATACACTGCAGCCATGGAATTCCCCACCCCATGGTCACATATAACAAAAGGGTGAATATGGTTCAGGAGGACAGAATTTTTCAGGATGAAGTCAAGATCAAGAACACGGGGACATGAACTCAAACTAGCAGGAGGAAAGTTCAAAACTAATCTTAGAAAGTATTATTTTACTGATAGAGTAGTCAATGCTTCGAATATATGAAGTGAATAAGTGCAGCGCTCATATGAAGTATGTGTGAAATGCAAATATAAATAAATTCACAAAAAGATATATGCATACATTCAATACATTTCAGCAATAAAGTATAATATAAATTACCATTACAAAGTGACTAAAAATCATATACGGTAAATAGTGATCGAAACAAAGTGCTCAGTCAAAGGGAATGTCCAAATTTAGAAGTAAACTCTTCATGAGTGACAATTCATCTATGAAATCTCCCTGGGTGACTGTAAGTGTAATGGCACCCAATGCACATTATAGCCTTCGCAGAACACTTGTCTTCCCAGGTACTATCACAGACATCTGGCAATCCTGCAAAAGGTAGCTCACCACACGGAGCCCAGAATTCATCTCACGGTGTAATATATTTATTGTAAACCAGGTAAGTAAAACAATGAATAAACGAATGCTCCACATGGAATGAAAATAAAAACCATCAGCAGTCAAACTTACTCAGATGGCAGCCGTTCCGAACACAGCATACGTAGACGTTACGTCGGCACATAAGGTGCCTCCCTACGCGTTTCGTGCACCAGCACACTTCAGGGGATCCGCCTACCAACCTTTGATCTTTGAATGCTTGGAATAGACTTCCAGCACAGATAGTAAGGCAATCAAGTGGATTCAAACATGCTTGGGACTAACATAGATCTACTCTCAGACAATAAAGCTAAAAAAAAAATGGGGCAGACTCGATGAACCACTTGGTTTTTTTCTTCTGTCACTCTTCTATGATTCTGTACTGGTGACATGACCATATTATTTGGTAAATAGCAATGACCGCAAACATTAGCTCATCCCTACTGTTCATTAACGTTGAGCTAAGGGAAACTGTCACATGAAAGCACGACATAGCCATATTTGATCAATGACATTGATAGTGAACCTTAGTTCATTCTTACTGATCACTAAGAATGAGCTAACTGACACATAATAGCACACCACCGGCCCGATATGCTTTGGCCTCGGAATTCCACACCTCGTGGCTACATATAGAAAAGTGGCAGAAATACTGGTGATATGGCCATGTTTAGTCAATGCCATTGACCATGAACCTTAGTTCATTCCTGCTAATTACTAAGGATGAGCTGCATGATAGCAGATTGCTGGCCAAATCCACTGTGGCCATGGGATTCCCCACCCCGTGGCTGCACATAATAAAGGGGAGGGATGCTGGGGGCATGACCATATTTGGCCAACAACATTGGCTACAAACCTAAAGATGAGCTAAGTGAAAATGTCTGGATAGCAGATTGCCAGCATAGGGGCAGAGTTGCTGGTGATGCGGCCATATTTGATCAATGACACGAACCCTAGCTCATTCCTACTGACCACTAAAGATGAGCTAAAGGAAACTGTCACATGATAAGAGAATGCTGGCAAAGGAGTAGGGATGTCAGTGACATGGCCATGTTTGGTCAAGGACACTGACCACGAACCTTGGCTATTCTCTACCAATCACCAATGTAATGGCCATTTTCTCCATTTAACCCTAGATAAAACTGGATTTGGTAAGGGTTTCCTAAGATCTTATTATTATTATTATTATACAGGATTTATATAGCACCAACAGTTTGCTCAGCACTTTACAATATAATGGGAGACAATACAGCAACAATACAGTTCAATACAAGAGGGTTAGGAGGGCCCTGCTCCTTGGAGCTTACAATCTAAGAGACCTGACAATTAATTTAGGTGTTCCTCTGGGATAAAAAAAGGATTGAGAAATTCTGCTCTACAGTAGACATACAGGGTGAGAAGATGAATAAAAAATAAAAATGTAAATTTGATTAGTTCTGTGCTCAGCACTACAATTTCAGATATGTAAAGTAAAACTGAAGCTTTAAAGTGATATATAGGGGGCATGAAGCGTATAAATATGCACTGTATAAACATGGAGGATGTCCTTTCAACCTTTCGGTGCCAGCCCTCATTTGTCAAAGTACTGGCCTGGAGGCAATCCTTGCCTTGCCAGCCCTGCCCTGATCATAAGACTGTCATTTATTTCTATTTTATGGCACATTCCACCCCTATGGCAATCAATAGTTATTTCTTTCATATACCCACATCACTTTCTATAGCTTACAGATGGATAATTACACAAGAAAAGCCTGATAGGATTAACCTGTCAGAGCCTCAAATTATTATGAGCATAGCAGAACACAATATAATGGAATTCCCTGCGTGTTTCAGATCCACTCAACCCTGTAATTCATCAAGCGCTAAGTAAATATTTATAGCAGTATACATTAGAATGCAATTGTGTGATAAGAGAAAGGGGGTCGCCAGTGAAGGCAGACTGAATAAGCCCTCCACAGGTATTGGAGTCTAGTCTACGCTCATGGTCCCTTGATGCATTCCTAGCATTCTTCTCATATTTCTGTTCAGTAATGACGTCCATGTACCTGGGCGCTCAGCGCTTCTATCTGGTCCTGATATCTTATCAGCAAGCCGGGAGCTGTCCATGGTAGACCTGCCTCTGCTCCCACACATCCTGCCTGAGCTCTGCTAGACTCTCAATGGCTCAGGCCACTGAGCACTTACACCAAGTACTGAGTTCTACACCTTCACGTTTCATCATTAGCCTCAGTAACCATAAGTCTAGACATGTCCATATGTAATGAGCCAAATATACAAGGCCTGTACAAACTAGCTGTGCAAACTAATGAGCAGACCAGTCAACGATCTAGGAGTGTACCTCTCAACATAGTTGTCACAGCTAAATGATGTGGTCTATTGTTTGTTTGTACATCAATAAGACATTAGTGCAGTGGAGAGAAAGCATAAAGGATCAGCAAAAAAAAAAAAAACATTAATGCCCAAATTTAGTTAAATTTTAAAAAAAATCTGCAAAAGGGATGGTACTTACAAAGTGGAAGAAAAGCCTAACCCTACTCTTAATAATGTTCCCTTTTCCCTCTTACCTATCCTGCTCACCCTATATTTTATGTATTGCAGGTACTTATACAGCGTTGTCAATTTATGCAGCGCTTTACATATATATTGTACATTCAAATCTGTAACCCTAAAGAGGCGTAGAATCCAAAATCCCTACCTTACATTCATATACTACGGCCACTTTAGACAGGATCCAATTAACCTACCAGCATGTCTTTGGAGTGTGGCAGAAACCGGAGTACCTGGAGGAAACCCATGCAGGCACAGGGAGAACATGCAAACTCCAGGCAGGTGGTGCCATGGTTGGGATTCAAACCAACAACTCTAGTACTGGCAGGTGAAAGTGCTAACCACTTAGCCACTGTGCTGCTATATAAAGAAGATGTGTGTACTTACCTATTTTTAATCCGCTCCAGTCATGTGATCCTGCAGTTCTATGTAAGGGAGCACTAAACAATGGCTGTGAATTCCTAGAGCCTTGATATCACCCATAGGCTCCCATGGCCCAGCTCTTGTTGGCGCTCCCACCTACCTTACAGCTGCCACTCACTGACACAGGGGAGCCAGAGCTGCAGGATCATGTGACCAGAGCAGAGATTAAAAATAGGTAAGTTCGCAGATCTTTTGGCAGGATAGGTCGAAGGAGGGGGGGAGAATAGTTTGAATTAGTTTTTTCTACACTGAAGAGAAGAGTCCTATGTGCTGGTGCCAGCTGTCCTAGCTGAATTTTTTCTGTCCTCTACCCCAACACACCCCTGCAGCAGTAATTTCCCTATGCTGGGGAGGTTAATACAGCGACCAGAACTGTCATAGGCCCTCGTCATCCTTTCCTCTCCCCCCCTCCATACGTAGAAGTTGTAATATAGCTTCCATCAATAGAATATGCTCTACAGATGGAAGACAGGTAGATAAATGAAACGTTCACCTCCTCCATTCATAGAGTGCTTTTCACTGATAGAAGCTATAGTACAATGCCTACAAGTCCATCCTCCCTTGTGAAGTTATAGTCAGGTACACAGCTCTGACCCATTGCACTACCCTCCTGGTTTGCTGGAAGTAGCACTACAGGGACACAATCTGCATGGAGTGTGCTTGCATGGGTTTCCGTCGGGCACTCTAGCTGATGTGAATGTGCAATATGTAAACTGCTGCACAAACTGTCGGCACTATATAAACACTATACATAAACACTATAAACACCTGTAATAAATAAAGCTACAAGTGTCCAGCAAATGTTGCCTTGTGGATGATCTTCCTGGGAGCACTGGGAAGGAGAACGGATTCACTGCACAGCTCTGCATGTATAGGTCTGGGAGATTGCTCAGTACTGGAGGTGCTCCTTACTCTAGAGGGGTTAATCATGAGACAGAGAGAGATTTTAGTTTTCCTTTAGGTTAGGGGGAATGGAAGGTGGTGGCGAGGGGAGCAGGAGGAACTAATGTCACAACGGTTTATAGGATTTATTGCTATACCTAACAAGTATGTACTGTATATCTATAACAGCCATTCTGAACAAGGGTTCTTCCAAGGGTAACTAGAGGTTCCTTGAGATGTGGCTAATTAATCTCTCATCTGAGGTGCCTGCATAGTTCCAGGTCCATCACCAATGTGCAGAGCCAGTAGCATGACACCAGGGATCTTTTTAGCAGATTGTAAGGGGAACATTCTTCCCACTGACAACCAATGCAAGGGGCATTTTCCTAAGGACCCACAATGGGCCATTCTTATGAGGGGCTCCATGAAATCTGGAAATTATTTCAAGGGTTTCTCTGGGGTAAAAATGTTGAGAGAGGTTGATCTATGACATAACAAAGAAATAGAAAGATAGATAGATAGATAGATAGATAGATAGATAGATAGATAGATGCATGATCAGGACATATGAGGACATGCAGTTTCACAACAGTTGGGGAGTGACTGGTTTCCTATATACAATGGACACAATAGGTATGCTTAAACTAATACATGACAAGTATTCAATGCATTGACGTCACATGCAGTAAGGTGTGGACATTGGACATTACCTGTAACCTAGATGATAGATGTATTTACTGTTTAACGTTTCTCTCAAATATCTTCTAACATCTGGAGTAAGGCTCTTTGCCGCCGAATCTCCCACTGCTGCAGCCACCACCTTGCCTGGACTCTGCTTGGCCAAGAATTCCTCCAGCCTCTTCCCCTCCTCCAGAAACATGTGCGTGTCAAACCGATCAGCAGCCTGGACTTGCCCCGTTTCTGGGTCAATGACCCTGATATTGATGCCCCGGCTACCCCACTGCTTCTCCCACTTGTAGGATCCCATAGGGCAGTCCTCCAGGATATAGAGTCGCATCTAACAATGTCCAAGATAAGGGTCGTCTTCCATGTAGCTCCAGTATCCCACCTCTGTCCACTCCTATGAACTTCTTTCCAAACTCTTCTACATCGTCACCATCAGTAGATTTTCCATAAAGAGAAATGGTGGCATCAGAGGTATAGGGACATTGTGAAGAGCCAATATGCAGTGAGCCACCATTTCTAATGAGGATATATTGAGTCCTTAATGTAATTGGTATATGGTCATCTGCAAAGACTAAAGTGCCTGAAAGAGAAAGGTAAACTTTTGTGAACTGCACATGGCATGACATCAAATTTCAAGAATCTTAAGCCTAAAGGTCATCATACCGATTACAATCTGACTGTACAATCTCTGTACATTAAACCGTACATTTATCAAAATGATGTAATATGAGTGCCTACCTGAACTCTACAAACATTCCATATCCAATCAGGCAGGCCCTTGCATCACATAGTTGTTCATAAATCTAAAGGAGATTGTACCATAAGATTCTAATGTGTATGGTGATCTTTAAACACAGTTACATATTGCAAAAAAAACTACCAATGCTATGCATAGTACATATACTGTATAAAACTTCATATTGGTACAGATAGATTTTGGACATTTATGTAACTTTGCCGTGCAGCTTTTTCTGCCCTGATGATCTGATGATTTTGAGTCACTTGTCTAGTATATCTACACAGATCAGGACTTCTGACTTTCCCGATCAGATCAGTGGCTCAAAGTATTAAAGCCAGATGGGGTCAGCATAATGGCCAGTCAACTGGCATTTTCAGAGAATGATCATTAAAGGCAAATATCTGCTGTACACTACAACTAACCTCTTCTTTGCCTTTTAAAGACATTTAAATATAACATACAACCCAAGTTAGGTTTTAGTATTTACAAGCTGTCTACAAGACAGATTAGGCATTGCTAACTTGTGCTCTTGGCAGCACGCGGTTCATGCTTCACCTACAGCAGATCAGATAGCCAGCTGGTGAAAGTTTGGATTCATCTGAAATCAAGCAGGGTGAAAATAGCTCCAGTCACCTGCAGTGCAAATATCACTCATTGTGCCAGGACATGGACCGCCTGTGGTGCAAGGAGCAGAGGATCAGAACAGATTTATGTGCAGATCAGATAAACTTTTATTTGGCAGATATATATGTATTATGGAAAGACAGTGGTCCTACATGTCCTACCATCCCATAGCAAAGAGACCATGCCTCATCACCACTCTGTAGTGCCAGGACAAGGACTGCCTGTAACGTAAGAGGCAGAGGACAAGAAAAGCTCATGTACAGAACAGGTACGTTTTTCTTGGCAGATAGATCTGCCTTATGGAAAGATAGTGATCCCCGCATCCTACCATCCCATAGCAGACAGACCATGCCTCAACACCAGTCTATAGTGCCAGGACAAAGAACGTTTATGTGATCGGGCAGATGATGAGAATAACTTAAGCGCAGTTCATGTAAGTTTTTTTAGGCAGATATATTTGTCTAATGGAAAGACAATGATCCTCCTACCATCCCATAACACAGAGATCATACCCCAACACAACACTATAGTTCCAGGACATGGACTAAAGTAAGTTTCTTATGGCAGATATATTTTTCTTCTGGAAAGACAGTGATCCTACATAGCTCATGTATAGACCAGGTAAAGTTCCTTCATGTAGATATATTTGCCTTATGGAAAGCCAGTGATCCTACCATCCCACGTAGCAGATAGGTCATGCCCCAATACCACTCTGTTGTGCCAGCACATGGACCATCGGTGATGGACAATAGATGAGAATAGTTTATGTGCAGGTCAGGTAAGTTTCTTTTGGCAGATAGAGTTTTCTTCTGGGAACACTGTGATCTTATCTATCCCACAATCCCGTACAATAGAGCTCATACCCCAATACCACTCTCTAGTGCCAGGACAAGGACCATCTGTGATGGACAATGGATGAGAATAGCTTCATGTGCAGATCAGGGAAAGTTTTATTAGGAAGAAATATTTGTCTTATGGAAAGTTAGCAATCCTACAATCCCCACCAGCCATCCTACATATCCTACCATCCTAAAAAATCCTACCATCCCACACATCCTACATATCCTACCATCCTACATATCCTACCATCCTACACATCCTACCATCCCACACATCCTACCATCCCACACATCCTACATCTCCTACCATCCTACAAATCCTACCATCCTACAAAACCTTCCATCCTACAAATCCTACCATCCTACATATCCTACCATCCTACAAATCCTACATCCCACACATCCTACATATCCTACCATCCTACATATCCTACATCCTACCATCCCACAAATCCTACATATCCTACATATACATATCCTACCATCCTACAAATCCTACCATCCCACACATCCTACCATCCCACACATCCTACCATCCTACATATCCTACCATCCCATATCATACCCCAATACCACTCTCTAGTGCCAGGACAAGGACCCATCTGTGATGGGCAATGGATGAGAATAGCTTCATGTGCAGATCAGGGAAGGTTTTATTAGGAAGAAATATTTGTCTTATGGAAAGTTAGCAATCCTACAATCCCCACCAGCCATCTTACATATCTCCATACTACAAATCCTACCATCCTACAAATCCTCCTATCGTCCTAAATCCTACCATACAAATCCTACCGTCCTACAAATCCTACCATCCTATCCCATCTTACACATCCTACCATCCTACAAATCCTACCATCCTACACATCCTACCATCCCACACATCCTACATATCCTACCATCCTACAAATCCTACCATCCTACCCATCCTACCATCCTACCCATCTTACACACCCTACCATCCTACATATCCTACTATCCTACACATCCTACCCATCCTACCATCCTACCCATCTACACACCCTACCATCCTACATATCCTACCATCCTACATATCCTAGACATTCTACCATCATACACATCCTACCATCCTAGACATTCTACCATCCTACCCATCCTACCATCCTACAAATCCTACCATCCTACATATCCTAGACATTCTACCATCATACACATCCTACCCATCCTAGACATTCTACCATCATACACATCCTACCATCCTACCCATCCTAGACATTCTACCATCCTACAAATCCTACCATCCTACATATCCTAGACATTCTACCATCATACACATCCTACCATCCTAGACATTCTACCATCCTACCTTCCCACATCATACCTCAATACCACTCTCTAGTGCCAGGACATGGACCATCTGTGATGGACAATGGATGAAAATAGCTTCATGTGCAGGTCAGGCAAGTTGTTTTTGGCAGATATAGTTTTTGTCTGGAAACACAATGATCCTACCTATCAGACAATCCTGTAGAATAGAGATCATACCCCAATACAGCTTTCTAGTGCCAGGACAAGGACCATCTGTGATAGGCAATGAATGGAAATAACTTCATGAGCAGATCTGATAGTTTCTTGCAGCAGATATATGTGTCTTATCCTACCATCCCATAGCAGGTGGATCATGCCCCTATATACCCTCCAGTGATAATTACCTCCATCCTGAATGAGCAAAGAGTGGAAAGTGGCTGAAGACTCCAGCCTGAGGGCCACGCCACGTCCAATAACGGCGGACCTCCTTCCATCGTGCCCGGGGTGCCAGGGGATGAGATAGGGCTTCTTATCAGGACATCTGTCTGCAATACACAGTCATCTGACACATGAACAGGCACGACTGACAGGGAGAGGGGGGGTCATGCTGGGTCACATAGAACACCAAGTCATTAGGAAGGAATGCACAGCCAGATCAGCTGAGATGAAGACAGAGGAAGAAGAAGAAGAGTATGAAGAAGAAGAGGAAGAAGAAGAAATAGGAGGAGGAAGAAGAAGAATAGGAGGAGGAAGAAGAGGGAGGAGGAAGAAGAAGAAGAAGAGGAGGAAGAGAAGAGGAGGAAGAAGAAGAGGAGGAAGAAGAAGTATAGAGAAGCATGGGGAGGGGGGGAGCATATTGTAGAGTCACCCACCTGTTGCCTTGACTTTCCTTGTCTGCTATGGAGGAAATCCCTCCAGGATGCTGAGAGCCTTAATAAAGTGAAGACAGATGAGAGCTGACCATACAATGGGCGATGACAGCCCAGTCCAGAGCCATTTACAGTGTGAGGGTCCTGCACCTGCTTTGTATCAGCACCTGCTGCACGTCAATGCACAGCAGGATAAAGCACCCCGACTCCTGGCCGAGCACAATCCACAATCACCTCTACCTACAGCCATCCAGAACACACAGACACACGATTCACCATCTCCTGCAAGGATACAGGGGGGAGGGGGGGGGTCCTCCCAGAAGTCTGCCTCACCTGAGTGGCCGCTTCTCTCCGACCTGGAAGACAAGTCGGTGTGCGATCCGTGTCCGGCGATGCTGTGTGTACTCCGGTACCGTCTCCTGAGCTGCGATTCCTCGGGCAGTCTTATATAGGGTCGGAGCTCTCCTCCCCCTCCGTATCTGATGATTCCACCTTTCATCCTCCCATTATCCCCCCCCCCCCCACCCCGGTCTGTCTCCCGTACACCCCCCCCCCCCTCTCCCGGGGGGCCCCGGCCGGCTTCACTCCTGGCAGTGCACAGTCCCCGCCCCCCCCCCCCCGCTCTGACGTCACCGCCGCCCGCTGACACTTGTCTGCCCGCAGGTACGATGTGTGCCCGGGGAGCGGAGCGGCCGGATCTCCGGGAACTACAAGTCCCAGCAGAGGAGCAGCACGTCTGACCTGTAATGAGGGGGGGGAGCTGATCGTACGATCTCCGCTACATTCACCGAAACTTTCTACTGCCAGTCCGTCCGACCTGTGTGCGGGAAGAGGGGGGGATCGGGCGCAGAATTGGACGATCGGTGTATGGGCACCTGAGCTGTTCTACGAGTCCCGGGAGTGTATATGAATGTGTGATACGAGTCCACGGACGATGTATATCGGTGTATGGGCTGCCGGGCGAGCTGTACACAGATTGGATGGACACCGATATTGATCGGACAAGGTGATCCAGGGAATATCGGATTGTGTCGGGGGGGGGGGGGGGTCAGGAAGGAATGCCCCCCCCCCGGAGGGATTGGACCGTGCTTTATGGGGGGATCGCCTCCTCTGGATCCACTCCGGGCAGATCCTTGTGTATATGGACGGATCATCTGTCAGCCACAATAACTATGTAATATGGGGTGTAT